TAACTTAACGATAATTATATTTGCGTACAGACAAAGGATGATGTCTATAACGGTAACCTTAGCGATAACTATAACGGTAACTATAACGACAACTATATTTGCGTACAGAACAAGGATGATGTCTATAACGGTAACCATAGCGATAACTATAACGGTAACTATAACGATAACTATATTTGCGTACAGACCAAGGATGATGTCTATAACGGTAACCATAGCGATAACTATAACGGTAACTTAACGATAATTATATTTGCGTACAGACAAAGGATGATGTCTATAACGGTAACCTTAGCGATAACTATAACGGTAACTATAACGACAACTATATTTGCGTACAGACCAAGGATGATGTCTATAACGGTCTTACACACACACACACTACTGACCTCAGTGCAGGTCTTACACACACGCTACTGACCTCAGTGCAGGTCTTACACACACGCTACTGACCTCAGTGCAGGTCTTACACACACACGCTACTGACCTCAGTGCAGGTCTTACACACACGCTACTGACCTCAGTGCAGGTCTTACACACACGCTACTGACCTCAGTGCAGGTCTTAGACACACACGCTACTGACCTCAGTGCAGGTCTTACACACACGCTACTGACCTCAGTGCAGGTCTTACACACACACGCTACTGACCTCAGTGCAGGTCTTACACACACGCTACTGACCTCAGTGCAGGTCTTACACACACGCTACTGACCTCAGTGCAGGTCTTACACACACGCTACTGACCTCAGTGCAGGTCTTACACACACACACTACTGACCTCAGTGCAGGTCTTACACACACGCTACTGACCTCAGTGCAGGTCTTAGACACACACGCTACTGACCTCAGTGCAGGTCTTACACACACGCTACTGACCTCAGTGCAGGTCTTACACACACGCTACTGACCTCAGTGCAGGTCTTACACACACACACTACTGACCTCAGTGCAGGTCTTACACACACACACTACTGACCTCAGTGCAGGTCTTACACACACACGCTACTGACCTCAGTGCAGGTCTTACACACACACTACTGACCTCAGTGCAGGTCTTACACACACGCTACTGACCTCAGTGCAGGTCTTACACACACGCTACTGACCTCAGTGCAGGTCTTACACACACGCTACTGACCTCAGTGCAGGTCTTACACACACACGCTACTGACCTCAGTGCAGGTCTTACACACACACTACTGACCTCAGTGCAGGTCTTACACACACGCTACTGACCTCAGTGCAGGTCTTACACACACACGCTACTGACCTCAGTGCAGGTCTTACACACACGCTACTGACCTCAGTGCAGGTCTTACACACACGCTACTGACCTCAGTGCAGGTCTTACACACACACGCTACTGACCTCAGTGCAGGTCTTACACACACGCTACTGACCTCAGTGCAGGTCTTACACACACACGCTACTGACCTCAGTGCAGGTCTTACACACACACACTACTGACCTCAGTGCAGGTCTTACACACACACACTACTGACCTCAGTGCAGGTCTTACACACACACGCTACTGACCTCAGTGCAGGTCTTACACACACACGCTACTGACCTCAGTGCAGGTCTTACACACACACACTACTGACCTCAGTGCAGGTCTTACACACACGCTACTGACCTCAGTGCAGGTCTTACACACACGCTACTGACCTCAGTGCAGGTCTTAGACACACACGCTACTGACCTCAGTGCAGGTCTTACACACACACGCTACTGACCTCAGTGCAGGTCTTACACACACACGCTACTGACCTCAGTGCAGGTCTTACACACACACGCTACTGACCTCAGTGCAGGTCTTACACACACGCTACTGACCTCAGTGCAGGTCTTACACACACACGCTACTGACCTCAGTGCAGGTCTTACACACACACACTACTGACCTCAGTGCAGGTCTTACACACACACACTACTGACCTCAGTGCAGGTCTTACACACACACGCTACTGACCTCAGTGCAGGTCTTACACACACACGCTACTGACCTCAGTGCAGGTCTTACACACACACACTACTGACCTCAGTGCAGGTCTTACACACACGCTACTGACCTCAGTGCAGGTCTTACACACACACGCTACTGACCTCAGTGCAGGTCTTACACACACGCTACTGACCTCAGTGCAGGTCTTACACACACACACTACTGACCTCAGTGCAGGTCTTACACACACACGCTACTGACCTCAGTGCAGGTCTTACACACACACGCTACTGACCTCAGTGCAGGTCTTACACACACGCTACTGACCTCAGTGCAGGTCTTACACACACGCTACTGACCTCAGTGCAGGTCTTACACACACACACTACTGACCTCAGTGTAGGTCTTACACACACACGCTACTGACCTCAGTGCAGGTCTTACACACACGCTACTGACCTCAGTGCAGGTCTTACACACACACACTACTGACCTCAGTGCAGGTCTTACACACACACGCTACTGACCTCAGTGCAGGTCTTACACACACACGCTACTGACCTCAGTGCAGGTCTTACACACACGCTACTGACCTCAGTGCAGGTCTTACACACACGCTACTGACCTCAGTGCAGGTCTTACACACACGCTACTGACCTCAGTGCAGGTCTTACACACACACGCTACTGACCTCAGTGCAGGTCTTACACACACACACTACTGACCTCAGTGCAGGTCTTACACACACGCTACTGACCTCAGTGCAGGTCTTACACACACACACTACTGACCTCAGTGTAGGTCTTACACACACACGCTACTGACCTCAGTGCAGGTCTTACACACACGCTACTGACCTCAGTGTAGCAGAGGTCACATGTGTGCGAGTTTATTTAGGGGTTTTCGCAACGGAGGGGCGGCTGTTGGTGTGTTTGTTCGCACCGCAGGAACTAGGAGCGATTTTAGCTCTAGGAACTCCTTTACTAATTTACTCCTTCAGAGTCGGTCTAACCCAGCGCTATAGGAACTACAGTGACGTTAGTGTTCTCTGATTGGCCGAACGCACGCAAAACACCAGCACCCGCCATCATTAAAAAGCTGTGTAAACACAGATTATACACTCACCGGCCACTTTATTAGGTACACCTGTCCAACTGCTCGTTAACACTTAATTTCTAAGCAGCCAATCACATGGCGGCAACTCAGTGCATTTAGGCATGTAGACATGGTCAAGACAATCTCCTGCAGTTCAAACCGAGCATCAGTATGGGGAAGAAAGTTGATTTGAGTGACTTTGAACGTGGCATGATTGTTGGTGCCAGAAGGGCTGGTCTGAGTATTTCAGAAACTGCTAATCTACTGGGATTTTCACGCACAACCATCTCTAGGGTTTACAGAGAATGGTCCGAAAAAGAAAAAACATCCAGTGAGCGGCAGTTCTGTGGGCGGAAATGCCTTGTTGATGCCAGAGGTCAGAGGAGAATGGCCAGACTGGTTCGAGCTGATAGAAGGGCAACAGTGACTGAAATAACCACTCGTTACAACCGAGGTATGCAGCAAAGCATTTGTGAAGCCACAACACGCACAACCTTGAGGCGGATGGGCTACAACAGCAGAAGACTCCACCGGGTACCACTCATCTCCACTACAAATAGGAAAAAGAGGCTACAATTTGCAAGAGCTCACCAAAATTGAACAGTTGAAGACTGGAAAAATGTTGCCTGGTCTGATTAGTCTCGATTTCTGTTGAGACATTCAGATGTTAGAGTCAGAATTTGGCGTAAACAGAATGAGAACATGGAACCATCATACCTTGTTACCACTGTGCAGGCTGGTGGTGCTGGTGTAATGGTGTGGGGGATGTTTTCCTGGCACACTTTAGGCCCCTTAGTGCCAATTGGGCATCGTTTAAATGCCACGGCCTACCTGAGCATTGTTTCTGACCATGTCCATCCCTTTATGGCCACCATGTACCCATCCTCTGATGGCTACTTCCACCATGTCACAAAGCTCTAATCATTTCAAATTGGTTTCTTGAACATGACAATGAGTTCACTGTACTAAAATGGCCTCCACAGTCACCAGATCTCAACCCAATAGAGCATCTTTGGGATGTGGTGGAACGGGAGATTCGCATCATGGATGTGCAGCCGACAAATCTGCGGCAACTGTGTGATGCCATCATGTCAATATGGACCAAACTCCCTGAGGAATGCTTCCAGCACCTTGTTGAATCTATGCCACGAAGAATTGAGGCAGTTCTGAAGGCAAAAGGGGGTCCAACCCGTTACTAGCATGGGGTACCTAATAAAGTGGCCGGTGAGTGTAGCCTATATATTTACTCCACAAACTAACTCTATGAACATGTAAAACAGAGATAGATGAGCCTCTTAATCTTTACACTGAGGAGAAACTCTGAGGGACCGAGAGAAACATGATGATGTATTTCTGCTCAGCAACACTGGGCATCAACACACGCCATACGCTAATAACTGTTCATTACTGTCTACTTTCTGTGTATAACAGTTCAATCTAATAACGTGTTAGACAGGACTGATAGACAGATCATAAACTAATGAACAGTCAAAATAAAAGTCACAACAACAAGCACGGCTTACGTCACTTCAGAGTTCCTACTGGCGCTGCGAATGTGTAGCAAGGTAAGATGTTGTGGGAAGAAGGAGGCGGGGATCGGCGAACATTCAAAAACTTTAATAAACGTAAAATAAACAAATACAAATACAAATTGCAGCCGCTCACGGACGACTACTGTCACATATAACAAAACACAAATAAAATCCAGGCCTGGTCCTTTCTCATCCTTCACTGTCGTCGCTCCTCCTTTATGCTTCCGCTCCTCCGCGCAGGTGTCGCTCATTATCAATCACGCCACCGGCCTCGTCCTGCTCGCCACAGAATGCAACCAGGAAAAAGTTCCTAAGCGGAACCATTAGTTCTCGAGGAACCCCCCTGGTGGCTAGTGTCTAGAACTACCTGGAGCGAAAGCCCCTTATTAGAGGTCACTGACTTCTCTTGTGTTTCTCTGTGGCAGAGCGCCGGCTGCGACGACCTGTTGGGTTCTGGGAAGGTTCCTGATAAATGTGGCGTGTGTGGAGGGGATAACAGCGCATGTAAGCTCGTCTCGGGCCTGTTTCAACACAGCCTGGCCAAAGTGGGCTATCACAAGATCGTGGAGATTCCACCGGGAGCCACCAAAATAAACGTCACGGAGATGGTGAAGAGCAGGAACTATCTGGGTGAGTAAAAGTCCATTCACTGCAAGAACGATAACTATGACGATAGCTAAAACTATAACCAAAACTATAATAACTATAGCGAAAACTATAACGGTAACTTAAACTATAATGATCACTATAAAGAAAACTATAGCGATAACTAAAACTATAATAACGATAACTAAAACTGTAACATACTATAACTATAACGAAAATTATAGCGATAACTTAAACTGTAGCGAAAACTATAATGATAACTATAAATAAAACTATAGCGATTACTATAACGATAACTATAATAAGTCGTAATAACTATAACTGTATCTAAAACTGTAACAAAAACTATTGCAATTATGATAACTATAATAACTAACAATATATAGCGATAACTGATAACTTTAAATCAGTATCAGTATATATGAAAAAATATACTGATAACTATAACTAAAACTATGACAATATAAACAGCTATAAAAAACTATAATGATAACTATAACGAAAACTATAGCAATTACGATAACTATGATAACTATAACAATAACTATAGCGATAACTTTAACGAAAAAATGTACTGATATGTAACTATAACTAAAACTAACAATAAGTACAACTAAAACTATAACGAAAAATAATTAAAATACGAAACGAAAACTATAGCGATTACTAAAACGATAACTATAACAACTATACTGATAAGTATGATGTAACTAAAACTATAACAATAACTAACGATTAATATAACAACTATTCTGATAACTATAACTATAACGAAAACTATAACGAAAACTATAACTGAAACTATAACGAAAACTATAACTGAAATTATATCGCAAACTATACTGAAAACTATAATATCTATAACTATAGCGACAACTGTACCTGATAACTATAGTGAAAACTATAATGATAACTATAATAACTATAACAATATTTATAGCAATAACTGTACTGATAACTATAACGATAAGTATAGTGATTACTATAATGATAACTATAGTTTAGTTACAGTATACTCAGAAGTGTTCGGGGACCCGTTTCAAAGAAACATAGCAAAGGCCGATACTGAGTACACTATAACGAAAACTGACGAAAACTAAAATGAAGATAACTATAGCGATAACTATCACCATAAATATAATAACTATAATGAAAGCCACTATGATAACTATAGTAACTATATTACCAGATAACTGTAACTATAGCTATCGTGATAACCGCACGCTGAAGCTGCTGTTTTAGAAGAGTTTAAACCCCTGCTGGTAAAACACATCAGATCTGTTAAATTACAGCCCAGCTCAGACTCTGGAGAACTATATAACATGTATTTCAGTCTCTCGCTTCGTTAAAGTCCCAGACAGTGTGACAGACTGACGCTGAGAGCGGAAGCGAGCGACCAGTTCTTCACACAAACACACTCTCCATCATCGGATCTGTGATGGTTTCTCTGCTGGTTTCCAGTAGCTGAACATGTTCCGGTGTCAGTCGTGGACTGGACCAGATGTCGTGTTAGCCGCCGCTAAGTTAATCACTAATGATCGTTGCGACGGAAGTGAATCAATCAAAACTAACTTTATCTGGACAATAACTTTATTCTAGAGCTGCTGTAAAGCCTAAACACTCTCAGTTACTGTAATCTCCTGTTATCACTGTAAAGCTGCTGTGAAACTCTATATTGTTAAAGCGCTGTATAAATGAAGGAGACTCGACTAGACAAACTCAGTGGAGGATGGAAAATTCTGTCCGTTTTTCCCTCTCCTGATTTATGAGCCACAGGATTCAATAAACTTCCCACACCAAGAGCAAAGATGACCCGGGCGATGGCCTCAGTCTGTGTGTGTGTGTGTGACCTGAGCGCAGTACAGGTTCATCAGGCTGAGTTCACTGAACGTGTGTTACATGTTCGTCAGCGAGGGGTTTGAGTTTTATGTGCATGTCAGCGTGTGTTAGAAGCACTGAAATCCTCTGTCAGCAACAATTACTCTGACCAGCTACTGTGTGTGTGTGTGTGTGTGCAGCTCTGCTCAGTCGGTCTGGCCGATCCATTATTAATGGAAACTGGGCCATCGACCGTCCAGGAATGTACGAGGGAGTGGGAACGATGTTCATGTACCGGCGGCCCAATGAGATCAGCAGCAGAAGCGGAGAGTCGCTCCTGGCCGACGGCCCGACCAATGAGATCCTGGATGTGTATGTGAGTGACACTTCAACACCTCATATCCGGATTCTTGAAACCCAATGTTATGTTATTGCAATATAATACTGAATTATTATTGTAATGTTTATTATTATGTTAATATTATAATTAGCCCCGATAGTTGACATGTAGTTGTAAAGTTACTGTACATGTTTAAAAGGACCATCAAAATAAAGTGTTAGTGCAGTTTCTCCTCATCCCTGATGTGTGCCTCTGCTCAGATGATCTACCAGCAACCCAATCCAGGCGTCCATTACGAGTTCCTGATGCCGTCAGAGAACGCAGTCGATGCCCAGCGTCCGGAAGAGACCCGGCTGGACGGTGAGTCAATCCGGACACGCTTCTCTGTTGCAGTGTTAATTTCGTTGACGAAAATAACGACGAAAATTATTCGTCAACGACATTTTTTCACAGACGAAAACGAGACGATAACTAAATAAAACCTAGTTTTGAATGACAAAGACTATGACGAAAATCTATTGACATTTTCGTCAAAGAATAAAAACTAGACGAAAATGTTAGATAGTGACGATTTGGGAAGCGATCCGTCAGAACTGATGTCCTGCGTGTGTGGTAGATGCGCACATTTGTAGGCTACTGTAACGTGATCTACCCCGCGGTCATAAAACGTTAAAAAATGTGAACGTCTGGGAGAATGAGTAGAGCAGACATATAGATCTCTGAATAAGAGTGACGATGCAAAAAAGAGCTCTATTCGGTGCGGTTTTCTGTGCGCACACACCTAACCCGAAGCGTGCAGTCATGCACAATACACCTACAGCGCGCGAGTAGGCTACTGAATTGAGCTCTCTTTCGTGTCTGAATGGAGAAATACACAACAGTATGTCTAAATGTCCTTTTTGGAGAGTATTCATGTAAACTATGCTGGTTATGTCTTAAACTGTGAGTGTGTCGGATGTGCATCAGTGCAATTGTATCCGCATGTCATTGGACACGATCCGACGTCTTAAAGTGACAGTGGCAATAAACCTAATGCGGTCCGTGTCCTTAATTTTGATCAAGCAACAAAAGAAAAAGAGAAAAGCATTCACTGTTTGTTAATAGCTTTAATAAGGATTAATTATATTTAATTCATACAAATAAATATGTCTGCTTGAAAGAATAAAGAATGATGTGTAAGTAGTTATAAGGAATAAATATATCATTCATTGTAAAGAAGACTGTGTTGTACTTTAGGAAAAGTGGTTTTATTTCATTTTAAGATATTTTTTAAGTAACAGTAGTTAAATCTGTATCTGTATTGCATGTTCAAACTTAAAAATCATTCATATTAATAGGTTAATAGATGTTTTCTCCGGGAGTATATGGGTTTGGAAATTTTAGAGAAATTCTAAATTAACGCATTACAATTGAACTAAACCCATTATATTTTAGTCGACTAAATCTACTGTAGATTTAGTCGACTAAAATGTTATTGTATTTCGTCGACTAAAACTAGACTAAAACTAAAACAATTCAGATGACTAAAATATGACTAAAACTAAATGGCATTTTAGTCAAAAGACTAAGACTAAAACTAAATCAAAATTTGCTGACAAAATTAACACTGCTCTGTTGCCTTTTATTCCTCTATCATGTGAAAATGACAGCATTCTGTTCACTGTATCTTGTGTTGCTCCTCAGTAAATGTTGTGAACGGTCAGACGGGCTCTGATGCGAACGGCCGGTCGACCCTGGAGGGTCACGAGGGGTCAGGGGTCAAGTATCCCCCCCCCATCCCGGATAATCAGCTTCCCGAAGCTCCGCCTTCAAAGCGAGTCCGGGAGTATAACTGGAAGCTCAGCGGCTCCACCGACTGCAGCGCCTCCTGTGGCAGAGGTCAGAAACACACTGGACTGATTCATTCAGCACTGCAAAAAATGCTTTTCTAACTTAGTATTTTTGTCTGGATTCCAGTCCAAATATCTAAAAATTCTTAAATCAAGATGCGTTTACTAGATGAGTAAAATGACATAAGATATTATGTCCTGGTTTCCGGGGGAATTAATCAAAAGTAAGTTGTGAGTGAGTTGTTTCTTAAAACAAGCAAAATTATCTGCCAATCCAGTAAGAAAAATCATGTTAATTCAAACAGATAATTTTTCTTGTTTTAAGCACTTAATTTTAATTTATTTCCCCAGAAAACAAGACTTAATATCTTATATCATTTTTACTCATCTAGTAAATGCATCTTGATTTAAGAAATGTTTGATATTTGGACTGGAAACAAGACAAAAATACTAAGTAAGAAAAGCATTTTTTGCAGTGATGTAAAGCCAGGTTCACACACGATTTGGCCGTCTGAGACAAAGTTTGCAAATCCTAAAAGAATCCTCTGATCCTAGGCTAAAAGTCTTTGATCGTTAGCTTGACGTGTTCACCGACAGCTGATTAATGGCCGCTGCGATCAAACTTTACCTCTGACGAAAAAAGATTTGACTCAGTCCTGCAGTGACTCTCCTGTGACGACCGTCAACTTGTCTTCGTTTTTCAAGACAAACTGTGACCAAAATTAGCGTTAGAGATTTCTTTGTAGCCACCGTTTCAATCCCGCGTGTAACGCAGCTCACATCACCGAACAAGTCTTTTATTGATGATGTAAAACTCCAGACATGTTTTCTAGCGTGCGTCCGTTTTTCACGTGTTTTCACTGTCGTACAGTTTGACATTAATGACAACTGAGATCGTCCAGTCATTTTAAGCCAAAATGGGAGTCAACCTTGAACAAATTGCAACAGATGCAACAGAAGTGAGTGACGCCTGAGTGTCGGCTGAGTGAGTGTCGGCTGAGTGAGTGACGGCTGAGTGACGGCTGAGTGTCGGCTGAGTGACGGCTGAGTGACGGCTGAGTGTCGGCTGAGTGTCGGCTGAGTGACGGCTGAGTGACGGCTGAGTGACGGCTGAGCGACGGCTGAGTGTCGGCTGAGTGACGGCTGAGTGTCGCCTGAGTGTCGGCTGAGTGACGGCTGAGTGACGGCTGAGTGACGGCTGAGCGACGGCTGAGTGTCGGCTGAGTGTCGGCTGAGTGACGGCTGAGTGACGGCTGAGTGACGGCTGAGCGACGGCTGAGTGTCGGCTGAGTGACGGCTGAGTGTCGCCTGAGTGTCGGCTGAGTGACGGCTGAGTGACGGCTGAGTGACGGCTGAGCGACGGCTGAGTGTCGGCTGAGTGTCGGCTGAGTGACGGCTGAGTGACGGCTGAGTGACGGCTGAGCGACGGCTGAGTGTCGGCTGAGTGTCGGCTGAGTGACGGCTGAGTGTCGCCTGAGTGTCGGCTGAGTGTCGGCTGAGTGACGGCTGAGTGTCGCCTGAGTGACGGCTGAGTGACGGCTGAGTGTCGCCTGAGTGACGCCTGAGTGAAGGCTGAGTGACGGCTGAGTGTCGGCTGAGTGACGGCTGAGTGACGGCTGAGTGACGGCTGAGTGTCGGCTGAGTGAAGGCTGAGTGTCGGCTGAGTGAAGGCTGAGTGTCGCCTGAGTGTCGGCTGAGTGACGGCTGAGTGTCGGCTGAGTGAAGGCTGAGTGAAGGCTGAGTGTCGGCTGAGTGTCGGCTGAGTGACGGCTGAGTGTCGGCTGAGTGACGGCTGAGTGACGGCTGAGTGTCGCCTGAGTGACGCCTGAGTGAAGGCTGAGTGACGGCTGAGTGACGGCTGAGTGACGGCTGAGTGACGGCTGAGTGACGGCTGAGTGACGGCTGAGTGTCGGCTGAGTGTCGGCTGAGTGACGGCTGAGTGTCGGCTGAGTGTCGGCTGAGTGTCGGCTGAGTGACGGCTGAGTGACGGCTGAGTGTCGCCTGAGTGACGCCTGAGTGAAGGCTGAGTGACGGCTGAGTGACGGCTGAGTGACGGCTGAGTGACGGCTGAGTGACGGCTGAGTGACGGCTGAGTGACGGCTGAGTGACGGCTGAGTGACGGCTGAGTGTCGGCTGAGTGACGGCTGAGTGTCGGCTGAGTGAAGGCTGAGTGTCGGCTGAGTGTCGGCTGAGTGACGGCTGAGTGTCGGCTGAGTGACGGCTGAGTGACGGCTGAGTGTCGCCTGAGTGACGCCTGAGTGACGGCTGAGTGACGGCTGAGTGACGGCTGAGTGACGGCTGAGTGACGGCTGAGTGACGGCTGAGTGACGCCTGAGTGACGCCTGAGTGAAGGCTGAGTGACGGCTGAGTGAAGGCTGAGTGACGCCTGAGTGAAGGCTGAGTGACGGCTGAGTGACGGCTGAGTGACGGCTGAGTGACGGCTGAGTGACGGCTGAGTGACGGCTGAGTGACGGCTGAGTGACGCCTGAGTGACGGCTGAGTGACGGCTGAGTGACGGCTGAGTGACGGCTGAGTGACGGCTGAGTGTCGCCTGAGTGACGCCTGAGTGAAGGCTGAGTGACGGCTGAGTGTCGGCTGAGTGACGGCTGAGTGACGGCTGAGTGACGGCTGAGTGACGGCTGAGTGTCGGCTGAGTGAAGGCTGAGTGTCGGCTGAGTGACGCCTGAGTGACGGCTGAGTGACGGCTGAGTGTCGGCTGAGTGTCGGCTGAGTGACGGCTGAGTGACGGCTGAGTGACGGCTGAGTGTCGGCTGAGTGTCGGCTGAGTGACGGCTGAGTGACGGCTGAGTGACGGCTGAGTGTCGGCTGAGTGTCGGCTGAGTGACGGCTGAGTGACGGCTGAGTGACGGCTGAGTGAGGGCTGAGTGACGGCTGAGTGAGTGACGGCTGAGTGACGGCTGAGTGAAGGCTGAGTGACGGCTGAGTGTCGGCTGAGTGTCGGCTGAGTGTCGGCTGAGTGACGGCTGAGTGACGGCTGAGTGTCGGCTGAGTGTCGGCTGAGTGACGGCTGAGTGACGGCTGAGTGACGGCTGAGTGAGGGCTGAGTGACGGCTGAGTGAGTGACGGCTGAGTGACGGCTGAGTGACGGCTGAGTGACGGCTGAGTGACGGCTGAGTGACGGCTGAGTGACGGCTGAGTGAGGGCTGAGTGACGGCTGAGTGAGTGACGGCTGAGTGACGGCTGAGTGACGGCTGAGTGACGGCTGAGTGACGGCTGAGTGTCGGCTGAGTGTCGGCTGAGTGACGGCTGAGTGACGGCTGAGTGACGGCTGAGTGTCGGCTGAGTGTCGGCTGAGTGACGGCTGAGTGACGGCTGAGTGACGGCTGAGTGAGGGCTGAGTGACGGCTGAGTGAGTGACGGCTGAGTGACGGCTGAGTGACGGCTGAGTGACGGCTGAGTGACGGCTGAGTGACGGCTGAGTGACGGCTGAGTGAGGGCTGAGTGACGGCTGAGTGAGTGACGGCTGAGTGACGGCTGAGTGAAGGCTGAGTGACGGCTGAGTGACGGCTGAGTGACGGCTGAGTGAAGGCTGAGTGTCGGCTGAGTGTCGGCTGAGTGACGGCTGAGTGACGGCTGAGTGACGGCTGAGTGACGGCTGAGTGTCGGCTGAGTGACGGCTGAGTGACGGCTGAGTGACGGCTGAGTGAGGGCTGAGTGACGGCTGAGTGAGTGACGGCTGAGTGACGGCTGAGTGTCGGCTGAGTGTCGGCTGAGTGATGGCTGAGTGACGGCTGAGTGACGGCTGAGTGACGGCTGAGTGACGGCTGAGTGACGGCTGAGTGAAGGCTGAGTTACGGCTGAGTGAGGGCTGAGTGACAGCTGTATAGTCTTTTACTGTTATATGTCAACAAGATTCAACAAGACATCTTCACCTGCTATACCCAATGTTTAGATCTGTTGTGGTATTTATGCAAATTAGCAAATACGTAATTAAATTATGCACCGTTTGCCCATGTTAACAAACAATTTGTAAAAACTTGTAATAAATTTTTTGTTTGTCTTGATGTAATTAATCAACTCAGTAATTTGCATGATGATATCTAAAGGTTAAAATTTTTACCCTATTCACGTGAGAAACAGAATGAATAGACTATATTTGGGTCTTTGGGTCTCACTCACTATTATATATTTGGTGTAAAACGCTAAAACTGCTCTCATGTTTAGCAAATGTGAGTACGTTTGCTGTCATCTTTGCAGGACTGTGATATGAAGAGCAAAGTAACATATTTTAGCCCATTACAGGCGCTACACTGGTATAAACATCAATATCGGTACAATATGCGTCACATGACTAAACTTAATTCATCGGTTTTAAATCCCTCCGTTTTGAGAGTCCACACTACAACACGGAAACACCGTTTTCAAGGTTATCCACTTTGGAGAGCGTTTTCAAAAAGCAATTTTCATTAATAAAACCGCGTCTCACTGTGGAGATGGCCAGACGTGTTCGGCCTGAAGAAGGAACCCTGGGCTGGTTTAGTGCTGCGTCTGCCGCTGGATTAGTGCAACACCTGCATGTGTTCCTGGTTTGCAGGTAGCAGGTACTCCGTGTTCGTCTGCGTTCATCGGGTCACTCACACACACGTGCCGATCGGTCTGTGTGACGGCAACACCAAACCCAGCGCTCAGGAGGAGCCCTGCAACGTCCAGCCCTGTCCCGCTTTGTGAGTCTCTTCTTCTTCTCTGTTTCTTCAGGTGTAGTTTAGCTCCAGGTAGGGGTCTAGAGATCCAAAAGAGTTGCTTATCTGGACCGGATTTGAAGAACCTTGCAGTAAAGGATGTTGTGTGACACTCGTGTTTGGCCTATACTGACACCCAGTGGTGTAAAGCCAGCATTGAGGCTAGTCTAGCCATACTGATGTCTATAGTGTCTGTAGTGCTGTAACCGTTTCAGAGCTGTAATATGATGATATATTACCATGATATGAGTGATCCTCTGGATTTAGATCTACATACAGTATTTATAGTGTTGTCTAGAACAATATCAGTGCAGCAGCGACTCAAAACTACTGAGAGATCAAGACAATTAAGAGATTTAAATATTGTTGGTTTTGTTTGATTTAGAGATTTAAATATTGTTGGTTTTGTTTGATTATAAATTTAAATATTGTTGGTTTTGTTCGATTTAGAGATTTAAATATTGTTGGTTTTGTTTGATTTAGATATTTAAATATTGTTGGTTTTGTTTGATTTAGATATTTAAATATTGTTGGTTTTGTTTGATTATAAATTTAAATATCGTCAGTTTTGTTCGATTTAGAGATTTAAATATTGTTGTTTTTGTTTGATTTAGAGATTTAAATATTGTTGGTTTTGTTTGATTTAGAGATTTAAATATGGTTGGTTTTGTTTCATTTAGAGATTTAAATATTGTTGGTTTTGTTTGATTATAAATTTAAATATAGTCAGTTTTGTTCGATTTAGAGATTTAAATATTGTTGGTTTTGTTCGATTTAGAGATTTAAATATTGTTGGTTTTGTTCGATTTAGAGATTTAAATATTGTTGGTTTTGTTTGATTTAGATATTTAAATTTAGTTGGTTTTGTTTGATTATAAATTTAAATATCGTCAGTTTTGTTCGATTTAGAGATTTAAATATTGTTGGTTTTGTTTGATTTAGAGATTTAAATATTGCTGGTTTTGTTCGATTTAGAGATTTAAATATTTTTTGTTTTGTTTCATTAAGAGATTTAAATATATATATATATATATTTTTTCGATTTAGAGATTTAACCTGTTAACTGTCACCCCCCTTTTTTTTGCATAGACATAAAAATCACTATCCAAACTTAAATGGTTGTAATTCAGGAATGCTTTGGAATATAGACCTATGGCTGGTCTTGTTTTAAAGAAGACAGTTTCCAGATTATTGTAGAAGTCTAGAAATTATAAAAAATGAAACAGAAAAAAAGTTATATAAGTTTGAGTTTATGAAATTGTGTAATGTAAAAATATAATTATTAATATTTTATATAAAATATATATATTACAAAATATATTTTACTCTAAAACTGCAAGTTGTATTCCAAATTTTAGGTTGATATCTCAAAAAATGAGCTTTCAGTAAGATTTTATTCGGGCGCAGCACCCAACTTTTTTACTAGGTGAACACCAGACTCCATTACTGCCCATATAAGGGCGCCTCCATTTTCATATATGTTTTGAGTGATCTGAACCATGTATTTCCATAATTTTCATACAATTTATGAAGTAGAAGTAGTATGGGTGGTTTGGCAGTATTTGATTTGAATTCAACCTCTAATAAATGCATAAAAAGACTACGTTATAGCGTTATAGCTTGCAGCCGCATCACAAATCGAGAATCCATACATTTTTCTTTATATTTAAAAAAATGTCAGACCTTTTTTTCTCATAAAATGGAATTGGTGTTATCTTTTGAACTCATGGTATGAAAACAAACTGAGGTTTCTACCAATCTTTCATGATTTTTCATGTTTATTGTTATTTCAAAATAAAGGCCTAAATACTCCTAATGAATATGAAATATTCTTGTTGCAAATTGATAAATTACTGCTCCTCTGTAATTTATTTTAGATAACAGCCACCAAATATGAAAACTAGAGATTTTAAGCTTTCAAATGATATATAGTTTGGCAATATTACTTTAGGTTTTTACTAAGATATTATTGTTTTAAACATGCAATGGCAAATTGGCCTGCCGGCTAGAGATTTAAATATTGTTGGTTTTGTTTGATTATAAATTTAAATATCGTCAGTTTTGTTTGATTTAGAGATTTAAATATTGTTGTTTTTGTTTGATTTAGAGATTTAAATATTGTTGGTTTTGTTTGATTTAGAGATTTAAATATGGTTGGTTTTGTTCGATTTAGAGATTTAAATATTTTTTGTTTTGTTTCAATAAGAGATTTAAATATTGTTGGTTTTGTTCGATTTAGAGATGTAAATATTGTTGGTTTTGTTTGATTTAGAGATTTAAATATTGTTGGTTTTGTTTGATTTAGATATTTAAATATGGTTGGTTTTGTTTGATTTAGAGATTTAAATATTGTCATTTTTGTTCGATTTAGAGATTTAAATATTTTTTGTTTTGTTTTAATAAGAGATTTAAATATTGTTGGTTTTGTTCGATTTAGAGAATTAAATATTGTTGGTTTTGTTCAATTTAGAGATTTAAATATTGTTGGTTTTGTTTGATTTAGAGATTTAAATATTGTCATTTTTGTTCGATTTAGAGATTTAAATATTTTTTGTTTTGTTTCAATAAGAGATTTAAATATTGTTGGTTTTGTTCGATTTAGAGAATTAAATATTGTTGGTTTTGTTCAATTTAGATATTTAAATATTGTTGGTTTTGTTTGATTTAGAGATTTAAATATTGTTGGTTTTGTTTGATTTAGAGATTTAAATATTGTTGGTTTTGTTTGATTATAAATTTAAATATCGTCGGTTTTGTTCGATTTAGAGATTTAAATATTGTTGGTTTTGTTTGATTTAGAGATTTAAATATTGTTGGTTTTGTTTGATTTAGAGATTTAAATATTGTTGGTTTTGTTCGATTTTGAGATTTAAATATTTTTTGTTTTGTTTCATTAAGAGATTTAAATATTGTTGGTTTTGTTCGATTTAGAGATTTAAATATTCTTGGTTTTGTTTGATTTAGAGATTTAAATATTGTTGGTTTTGTTCGATTTAGAGATTTAAATATTCTTGGTTTTGTTTGATTTAGAGATTTAAATATTGTTGGTTGTGTTTGATTAAGAGATTTAAATATTGTTGGTTTTGTCAAGTCAAGTCACCTTTATTTATATAGCGCTTTTAACAATACAATTTGTTCGATTTTGAGATTTAAATATTTTTTGTTTTGTTTCATTAAGAGATTTAAATATTCTTGGTTTTGTTCGATTTAGAGATTTAAATATTCTTGGTTTTGTTTGATTTAGAGATTTAAATATTGTTGGTTTTGTCAAGTCAAGTCACCTTTATTTATATAGCGCTTTTTACAATACAATTTGTTCGATTTAGAGATTTAAATATTGTCGTTTTTGTTCCATTTAGAGATTTTAATATTTTTTATTTTGTTCCATTAAGAGATTTAAATATTGTCGTTTTTGTTTCATTTATAGAGATTTAAATGATTTTTGTTTTGTTCGATTTTTAGAGATTTAAATATTGTTGGTTTTGTTCCATTTAAAGATTTAAATGTCGGCTGGTTTTATATAGAATAATCGATAAGGTTTATGAATTTGTGTTAATGTCTTTAAGTGTTTTATAATGTCCCCAAAAGACTCATGAGGTGTTATATAGTGAATAGTCTGTTTGTCGTCAGACGTCACTACAGTCGTGTAATGACACGAGCTCTCCTAGAACGTTGCTGACTGATATGTGTGTGTGTGTGTGTTCAGCTGGGACGTCGGCGAGTGGTCGGAGTGCAGTAAGACATGTGGTTTGGGTCTTCAGCATCGCCAGGTCTTGTGTCGTCAGGTGTACGCCAACCGCACGCTGAACACACACTCCAGCCGATGCCACGCGGAGCGGCCCGAGACCAGCAGCACCTGCCAGCTGAAGATCTGCAGCGAGTGGCAGATCCGCTCCGACTGGAGTCCCGTGAGTGACAGCTGTCAGTCACAGCCCTCCTCCCCGCTGATTGGCCACAGACGTGAGGGGGGGCAGTGGGTGGAGCTTTGGACTCATTTGGGTTTGATAACTGCAGTAAAACACTAGTCACGTCAAGTCACGTTTATTTCTACAGCGCTTTTTACAATACAGATCGTTTCAAAGCAGCTTTACAGAGATAACTGGACAATAATGCAACAGAGTTTGTTTCTAGAAGAGAATAGCGTCACAGTCCAGCTTAAGTAAGTTCAGTGATGGCTCATTTTTGTTGTAAAAAAGTTATTAATTTAGTTAATTTATATATATAGCGGCTCTGGAGAAAACCGTGATGTCATCGTCCAGCTCAGTTCACTTCTCATATAATGCTGTCAGTGCAGGAGATCAATAATATTGATGAATATTAAATTAAATATCACCAACTAAGCAAGACAAAGGCGAAAACGGCGACAAAGACAGAAAAGAAAGTCTCATTAGTTGGTTACAAGTAAAACTAAAAATATGCACACATGCTTTACTGTGGCAGTTCCAAATTTCAAACATGAGGTAGAAGCGCATAGACTGTATAAAAATATGGACGTAGTGTCCGAAAGCCCAAAGTGGGCGGAGCCGGCGGTCGCGCGTCACTCGCGGATAAACGAACATGTGTAGCGCGGCGGATTAGCTGAGGTGACGTGACGCTAACACACAGCAGACAAACGGCTAGCAGTGACATCAGCGGCAATCCACCTGTCACTCAAGTGGCCACGCCCTTAATTATGCACAACTTTAGGGCTTAATATAATAAAAAACGAATGAGTTATAAAAAAGTTCACCGTCCTCACAGTTGTCATGAAGGGCAAAATTAGCAATATAGACCAAAACCACTTTTTGCACCAGGCCGTAAACATGTTTATTCTGCTGTAAAGTTGGGCATTTTAACATGCGGGTTTATGGGACGGAGTCTCTTCTGCAGCCGGCCTCTAGTGGCCAGTGGAGGAACTGCAGGTTAACTCACTCACTGTTGATTCAAGAGAGAGACGGGAAGGTTGCGCTTTGTTAGAAGCATATGTGCATTAGTGTGTGTGTGTGTGTTGTCAGTGTTCTGTGCCCTGCGGCGTGGGTCAGAGGTCACGTGAGGTGCACTGTGTCAGTAATGTTGGTGATATCGTGGCAGACGACGAGTGCAACATGAAACTGCGTCCCAGTGACGTGGAAAACTGTGACGCGGGTCCGTGTTCGAAGAGCTGGTTCTTCAGCGAGTGGAGCGCTCAGGTGAGTCACGCTAGACTGCGATTAATCCTGCAGCGCTATCAGAAAGCAATTTACACGTAATCACAATTAAAACGAGTTGGCTTATCACGATTTTGAAATGGCAAAGGCTATGAATATATTTTCTGTGCAGCGTGTCAGTGAAGCACGAAACGCGGCTCACTCTGAAAACACTGAGTTTGAGTATAAAGTAAATTTGAACATGAAAAGCATTTTTGAACCTCTTGTCCAACAAAAGACAACATTTAATAACATGCTTTTACTCCAAACTCACTTCATCAGGACAGCTGAGCTCGTCCTTCTGTGAGATGATGCGCTTCTCACACAGAATACGGCAGTCGTGTGTTTATTAGTCGTGTTTAATCAGAGCGTTTCATTCTTCTGTTTATTCAGATACAGAGAGTGTGAGGCCGATAGGGGTTTCCTGGAATGATGTGTGTTATTGTACTTCTGGTGGGCATATTTAGCGTGTGTGTGTGTGAGACGCCCTCTGGTGTTCAGAGGGATATGTGGTGTGTGTGTGTGTGTGAGACGCCCTCTGGTGTTCAGAGGGATATGTGGTGTGTGTGTGTGTGTGTGTCAGACGCCATCTGGTGTTCAGAGGGATATGTGGTGTGTGTGTGTGTGTGTGTGTCAGACGCCCTCTGGTGTTCAGAGGGATATGTGGTGTGTGTGTGTGTGTGTGTGTGTGTGAGAGAGAGAGAGACGCCCTGTGCTGATCAGATCAGGGCCCTGGACTCAGGTACGGCCCTCTGGTGTTCAGAGGGATATGTGGTGTTGTGTGTGTGTGTGTGTGTGTGAGACGCCCTCTGGTGTTCAGATGGATATGTGGTGTGTGTGTGTGTGTGAGAGAGAGAGAGACGCCCTCTGGTGTTCAGATGGATATGTGGTGTGTGTGTGTGTGTGTGTGTGTATGTGTGTGTGTGTGTGTGTGTGTGTGTGTGTGTGTGAGACGCCCTCTGGTGTTCAGATGGATATGTGGTGTGTGTGTGTCTGGTGTTCAGAGGGATATGTGGTGTGTGTGTGTGTGAGACGCCCTCTGGTGTTCAGATGGATATGTGGTGTGTGTGTGTCTGGTGTTCAGAGGGATATGTGGGGTGTGTGTGTGTGTGTGTGTGAGACGCCCTCTGGTGTTCAGATGGAGGAGTATCTACTACCGATCACTGACAAACTGCGCATAAAATAATCGCAGCCTTTGCCAAATCGCGTGCGGATTCATTGCGATTAATTGTGCAGCGCTAGTTTCTGATTGTGTGTGTGGCCGGGCTGACTCTCGTGTGTGTGTGTGTTCGGCAGTGCTCTGCGGACTGTGGCGTGGGTCTGCGGACTCGCAGTGTAGTGTGTCTCAGCGATCACACCAGCGCTCTGCCTCTGGAGGGCTGCGGGTCCGAGCGGCCGGGCGAGACTCAGTCCTGCAACAGCGGCCCCTGTGAGAGCCACACCGAGTGGGTCACCGGGCCCTGGACTCAGGTACTGCCCTCAGGATAACCCTGTGCTGATCAGATCAGGGCCCTGGACTCAGGTACGGCCCTCAGGATAACCCTGTGCTGATCAGATCAGGGCCCTGGACTCAGGTACGGCCCTCAGGATAACCCTGTGCTGATCAGATCAGGGCCCTGGACTCAGGTACGGCCCTCAGGATAACCCTGTGCTGATCAGATCAGGGCCCTGGACTCAGGTACGGCCCTCAGGATAACCCTGTGCTGATCAGATCAGGGCCCTGGACTCAGGTACGGCCCTCAGGATAACCCTGTGCTGATCAGATCAGGGCCCTGGACTCAGGTACGGCCCTCAGGATAACCCTGTGCTGATCAGATCAGGGCCCTGGACTGATGGTGCATTGGTCTTGTGTTGGTGTGTTCATGAGCTGTGCGTGTGTGTGTGTGTCAGTGCTCAGCGGAGTGTGGCGTGGGCAGTCAGCACAGGGCAGTGGTGTGTCTGATGAGCTCAGACGAGGGTTTCTCAGTGATGCCGGCGTTCGAGTGTTCGTCTCTGGACCGACCGATCAGCCAGAAGAACTGCTTCGTCAAAACCTGCGCAGCAAAGTGGTTCCACACCGAATGGAGCGAGGTGAGACACACACACACACACACACACAGAGAGACACACACACACAGACACACACAGCGAGACACACACACACACACACACACAGCGAGAGACACACACACACACATCTCATCAGTTAAAGGAACACAAACTAAAGGAGCCATTTCACACTGAACTGCAGACGGGAGTAAACACACTAACTGAGAGTCATGTGTCTGTGGTTCTTCTGAGATTGAGTTTATTTGACATAAAAAGTAGCAATACAACATTGTTACAACTTGTTTGTCAAGGATAACACAATCAAGTTGCATTAACTTATTTCCATTGTGGTCCTTGATTTTTTTTTTTTACGAGACATTTTGACAAACGATGCGCACACAAAAATAACTATCACAACAAAAAATACACATATATATCCATATCTATTAAGGCATCCTATTAAAAAATAGGATAAGGCAATCTATAAACAATCGTATACTAAAACCAACATTATCCGTTAAAACCTCAGCTTCTTCCACTCCTGCCCACCGGTATATACAGACGTCCTGTTACCGTACAATGTCTTACACTTACATAGAGTCAAATCCATAACACTGTGTCTAGTATAGTGTCCATGTCCTGCATTAACCCGAGAGAAATATGAGTTAAAATATATTATTCTGTTGTTCTGTGCGTGATGTTTGCATGTATCCAGTGCTCTAAGTCGTGTGAGTCCGGTTACCGAGTGCGAGAGGTGCGCTGTCTCTCTGACGATCACATGACCAGCAGTCTCTCTGACGATCACATGACCAGCAGTCGCTCTGACGATCACATGACCAGCAGTGACCTCTGTGAGCAAACACTGAAGCCACATGAGAGGGAGGAGTGTAACCCTGAGCCCTGCCTTCCTCTGATTGGTCAGTTCCTTCGTGAATATATGAATATCAAGTGGCACGTTAATAATGTCACATTTTCCCAAAATCAACTGAAAGAAACAATATTTTGCATATTGTACATCATTTGTATTTGAAAAATGTATATATATATATATATATATATATATATATATATATATATATATATATATATATATATAAATTGTATTTTGTATGTAGAAAAAAAAATATATATATATGTGTATAGATATAGATCAATAATATATATAATTATATATATACATTTTTTTATTAATAAATTCATAAAAAATGTGTATATATATATATATATATAAACTGTATTTTGCATGTAGAAATATATATAAAATTATAAATTCGCTATTATGCATGTACAAAAATTATATATAATTATTATTACGTATTATGTATATTAACTGTATTTTGCATTAAAAAAAGATAAAAATATATATAGAGAAAATATATATAATTATATATATTTGTTTTTAAATAAATTCATTTATAAAAATTATATATATATATATAAACTGTACTTTGTATGTAGAAAATTTAAATATATATATATTATTATATATTATATACATTAACTATATTTTGCATATGTATATATGTACATATATATAACAATATTATATTATATAATTATATGTATTTGTTTATAAATAAATAAATAAAAATGATGTTTGTGTGCATATAGAAATTTAAAATAAATAAATAAATATTAAAATATATAAATATTTGTATGTTTTCTGCTGTGACCTGAACATGATGTGGTGAGACTCCCCACAGTATCTGTGTAATTTCTGTGTTTTGCAGATGAAAAGTGTCGTGATAAATACTTCAACTGTAACGTGGTGGTCCAGGCCCGGCTCTGCGTGTACGACTACTACCAGACGGCGTGTTGCGTGTCGTGCCGGCGCGCGGAGAACACGAGGCGTCGGTCATGAGCACACCACCGTCTCACACACACGGGTCCCTGCCGGAGCGAGAGACACTGCACACACACCGCTCCGGAGAACGAGCCGGAACCCGAACCGAGATCTGGACCTCTAAAGATCTGGACTGGACCCGGTGCCGTGCGTCAGTGTCACGAACTGCAGCAAACACAGAGAGAATACACTGTAACACTGAGTGTGTGTCACTGTATTAACAGCCAGTTCTGTTCACTTCTGTTCTGTTCAATTCTGCTCAGTTCTGTTCAGTTCTGTTCTGTTCAATTCTGCTCAGTTCAGTTCTGTTCTGTTCAATTCTGTTCTGTTAAATTCTGTTCTGTTAAATTCTGTTCTGTTCTGTTCTCTTCAGTTCAGTTCTGTTCTGTTAAATTCTGTTCTGTTCTGTTCTCTTCAGTTCTGTTCTGTTCAGTTCAGTTCTGTTAAATTCTATTCTGTTCTCTTCAGTTTTGTTCAGTTCTATTCTGTTCACTTCTGTTCTGTTCTGTTAAATTCTGTTCAGTTCAGTTCAGTTCACTTCTGTTCAGTTCTGTTCAGTTCAGTTCTGTTCTGTTCAGTTCTGTTCTCTTCAGTTCTGTTCTGTTAAATTCTATTCTGTTCTCTTCAGTTCAGTTCTATTCTGTTCTGTTCTGTTAAATTCTGTTCAGTTCTGTTCTGTTCTGTTCAGTTCTGTTCTGTTAAATTCTGTTCAGTTCAGTTCTGTTCAGTTCTGTTCAGTTCTGTTCTGTTAAATTCTGTTCTCTTCAGTTCTCTTCAGTTCTGTTCTGTTCAGTTCAGTTCTGTTAAATTCTATTCTGTTCTCTTCAGTTCTGTTCAGTTCTATTCTGTTCAGTTCAGTTCTGTTAAATTCTATTCTGTTCTCTTCAGTTCTGTTCAGTTCTATTCTGTTCAGTTCAGTTCTGTTAAATTCTATTCAGTTCTCTTCAGTTCTGTTCTGTTCAGTTCAGTTCTGTTAAATTCTATTCTGTTCTCTTCAGTTCTGTTCAGTTCTATTCTGTTCAGTTCAGTTCTGTTAAATTCTATTCTGTTCTCTTCAGTTCTGTTCAGTTCTATTCTGTTCTGTTCTGTTAAATTCTGTTCAGTTCAGTTCTGTTCAGTTCTGTTCTGTTCAGTTCTGTTCTGTTAAATTCTGTTCAGTTCAGTTCTGTTCAGTTCTGTTCTGTTAAATTCTGTTCTGTTCTGTTCTCTTCAGTTCTGTTCTGTTCAGTTCAGTTCTGTTAAATTCTATTCTGTTCTCTTCAGTTCTGTTCTGTTCAGTTCAGTTCTGTTAAATTCTATTCTGTTCTCTTCAGTTCTGTTCTGTTAAATTCTGTTCAGTTCAGTTCACTTCTGTTCTGTTCAGTTCTGTTCAGTTCTGTTCTCTTCAGTTCAGTTCAGTTCTGTTCAGTTCTGTTCTGTTAAATTCTGTTCTGTTAAATTCTGTTCTGTTCTGTTAAATTCTGTTCTGTTCAGTTCACTTCTGTTCTGTTCAGTTCTGTTCAGTTCTGTTCTGTGCTCTTCAGTTCTGTTCAGTTCTATTCTGTTCACTTCTGTTCTGTTAAATTCTGTTCTGTTCAGTTCACTTCTGTTCTGTTCTGTTCTGTTCTGTTCAGTTCTGTTCTGTTCACACTGCGTGGATTTAATCTGAATTCAGTTGAACTGCAGTGTGAACGTGTTCAGATCCGGTTCTCAGTTCAGATCTCAGCTAACAGGGAACGTTCTCAAAGTTATGATGAAACCTTCTCTCTGTAACGTTAATATAACGTTCGTTCAAAGTTATCTGATGTTTAATAATGTTCTCCAAACGTTAGCACGAACACATTATCTGTACGTCGTTTATGTTGAATGTTCGTTTGACATTTTTTATATGTTGCCGCTTGTTTCAGAACGTTCAAAATGAACATTTCAATGATGTTTGCAAAACATTCGTATAGCCAAGAAAAAAACGTTAACATTTAAAAACCTGGATGTCAGAGAACATTAAACGTGTTAAAGTCCCCCTGTTAAAACCCATATAAATCACCAAAATTACACATTTAAACTAGCCTGGTTAAAACCAGAGCATTCTCAGTTGTAACTGGCAAAGCGTCATAGACAAATCATTTCCAGAGGGGCGTCACCAACGGAGTCGCGGATAGACCTAAACCCAATCAGAGCGATGGAGGAGATGACGTATGCAGAGCGGCGGAGACACATGTTGTTCTTTACTCGGTTTTTAACTAAAAGGAAACGTTCAAATCGCTTAAAACAGACGCGATCGCTGATTGGAACGAGTGATGTTCGACGGCGGCATCCATCTTTGTAATGAAGGCTACAAAATCTGCTTCGAAATCCCAGCGCTGTCGTCATCGTGTAAAGCCCGCCCCAACGCTTCTGATTGGTGCCGCGATTTCGGCGGATTGGAAATGGGCTTGAATGAGCTCTTTGCCAGACTAACTTTCAGAGCAAATCTAAATTTGTCGGAAGTTGTCTGGTCTTATAATATCTTGAATGTAACTCGACACCCTCGCCTCATTTAGTATGCGCAGTTCTATGAATATGCAAATGAGCCCCGCCTCCACTCACTCCCTCAGCTCAGAGATCCACTGGTTGACGATCACACGTTGATCTGATTGGTTACAAGGTCGTTTGTGACGTCAGAAACACCAGCGATTTCAAACCGTGTTTTTGAGACTGTCTTTGGTTCACTGCAGTTTTAAGGAGGAAATACTCAGCAATGCTGTCGACTTATGAACTTACACATGGTGTGTCTTAATGATGTTTTATAAACAAAGTTCGGGAGGAGCACGTTCAAATAATCATTCCAATCAACTGGTCATCAAACAATTACCATGTCTAACCTATCAGCACGAGAAGGAGCATATAAATATTCACTCTGTCAACTCACCTAACATTCCTTGACAGTTTCAGCATCTGGTCCCGCCCATTTGTTACAATGTCTGAGATCGAACTCTTCCCGTCCGACGACGACTCCTTCGTCGCCCAGGCTCCATCACAGCTTCCCACCGCTGCAATGAGCTCCCACGCTCAACAGGACACCGCATCTGAACTTCCAGCATCACTGCGCGGCCGCCGGTCTAGCCGAGCCGCTTCCCGTACTCCGAGGCGCTGGGGCTTGCCCTCACCTCCACCATCAAGACCTCCTCCACCATCTCCAGCTTCCTCCTACACCTCAGCACAACCCAATATTCCTGCAATTGAGAAGTGGACAGTGCTGGGGTTGAAACAAGCGCTAATCAGCGCTGATGTTCATTTTTCTAGGAGAATGAACAAAGCACAACTATACAACCTGTACGTTTCACTCCAGGCAGCTTTCCCTTCTCCAAAATCCACTCCACCTTCAAAATCCGCAAAAAAGGCAAGTAATTACAAGGCTCCAAACTCACGTTCCCAGAAATCACCTTCTCCCGCTCTTGCAGGGCCCAGTTTTCCGCGAGCGCCAGGCCGCAGCAGGCCTCCAGCTAGCCTGGGCCGCGCCCCAGATTACGCCGCCGTCAGGCCCCTCTCTTCTCTCCGCTCCGCTGAGCTACAGACCGCAGTCTTTTCCAGCACCTCACGTAACAATGCCAGTTTCAAGCGAAACGGGCCGCTCTTTCAGCGTGAGTATGCCAACGGCACAAGCCCAACTACCACATACTTTTCCTGTCACCTTTTCCAACCCTTTCCCCTGTCCATGGCCTGCAGCCCCACCACCAGACACTAGCGCGAGGCTGCTTCAGCTAGAGGCGCAGGCCCAGGCACCTTTTCTACCTCCCCAGCTCCCCTCCTTTCCCACTTTTCCAGTTCTTCCTCAAAAGCTTTAGGGGCCGACCCAAGTGTGAGGTTGCCTCCACAAACGGCCTCGGCCCCAGGGGGTTTTCTTCCTAACACCTTTCCCCAAAATCGGTCTCCTTTCACGCTGTTCTCCGCAACGCCGATGCCCATCCCGCCGAACGCTACAGCTATGGAACCGCCCCCTGTTGCCAGCAACATCAGAGCACAGATCCTCACAGGTGCGGACATCGATTTATCTTCCCTTCTTTCTTTACTCCCCCCCCCCTCTGTCTCAAATCGCCAAATCGACTGCGGCGATTTTGCAGTCACCCTCAAAAACCCAGTTAATAATTCATCCCGCATTCTGTCGTTTTCTGAATTTGCAATTGCTTTCAGCCGGTATAGCGAAATAATTTGTGCCGCACTTCCCCACAGGAGACGAGAGCTAAACGACTATCTCGCGATAATCGCAGAGCTCGCGTTATCATACGGAGGAACCCATTTTAATACTTACCACAAATTGTTCTCCGCAAAGTGCGCCGTCCGCGTAGCTCAGTGGAACCAGTGCCCTTACTGGGGCGCCCTAGACACAGGGCTACACAATAGAGTGTTCCTAGGCTGCCGTAACATTTCCTGCGCTGTTTGCAGATCCGTTTCGCACTCCACCACGGCGTGTCCCTTGATTAACCCTGCAAATCCTCCCCGCCCAGATTCACCAGCTGGGAAATCAACCAGTTATGTCCCGCGGCCAGCAAACATTAATTTCAACGACTCAGCCACAGATTCTAAAAGAAGAAAAACCTCCTTCCCATCCAACAACCAAGTCTGCAATAACTTCAATTAAGGACGTTGCTCACGGCAACGCTGCCGTTATTTACACATCTGCAGCTATTGCGGTGGCGCGCACGCTCGCACTATATGCCCTGTAAAAAGGTCCGTAAATAAAGATTCCAAAAATTACTTGTCGACTCCTGTGAATTTTTCTCGTCTGTCTTCTGAATTAGCTCACCACCCTAACACTAACTTTACTGACTATTTACTGTCTGGTCTCGAACACGGCTTCAAACCCGGCGTTGAAAGCCTTCCCACTCAAAGTATCATATGTGACAATCTCCAGTCTGCTCTCGCTGAACCTGAAACAGTCGACTTCCTGATTAAAAAAGAAATCGAATCAGGCTTCATGATTGGTCCGTTTAACATTCCTCCTTTCGTTTTGAATGTTTCCGCGTCAGCCCCATTGAAGTGGCCACAAGAAAATTTTCAGGCAAAAAACGTTTAATAATCGATCTCTCAGCCCCGCATAATTCTCCGTTTCCAAGCATAAACAGCCTTATCTTGCTTGAACAATTTTCTCTTCATTACCACACCATTGACCAAGCCATAACCTTGATTAAAGACGCAGGCTACGGCGCTTGGCTCGCTAAAGTCGACATCACTTCTGCTTTTAAAGTGATGCCCATTCATCCAGATTCATGGCATTTGTTCGGCGTACGCTGGCAAGAGAAATTTTACTTTGCCGTCCGTTTAACTTTCGGCTGCAAAAGCAGCCCCAAGATTTTCGACATGCTATCAGAAGCCATTTGCTGGATTCTTTACAATAACTACTCGATACCCTACTTAATCCACCTGTTAGATGATTTCCTAATTATATCACCACCCGACACCATCCCAGCCGCGCATCTTCTCACAGTCCAAAAAGTCTTCGCTGAGCTCGGGATTCCAATCGCCCAAGAAAAATATTGCCGCAGCAGCGTCATCCACTCCGCTCCCGCAGGAGCTCAAGTCTATGCCCAAAATAGTTTGGGATTCTCAAGCAAGATTGAAAGCAAGTCTGGTCCACTGCCGCAGCAGTGTCATCTACTCAGCTCCCGCAGGAGCCCCATTACTCCGTCCAAACTTGCTCCATCGCCGCAGCAGTGTCATCTACTCAGCTCCCGCAGGAGCCCCATTACTCCGTCCAAACTTGCTCCATCGCCGCAGCAGTGTCATCTACTCAGCTCCCGCAGGAGCCCCATTACTCCGTCCAAACTGGCTCCATCGCCGCAGCAGTGTCATCTCCTCCGCTTCCGCAGGAGCTCCATTACTCCGTCCAAACTTGCTCCATCGCCGCAGCAGTGTCATCTACTCAGCTCCCGCAGGAGCCCCATTACTCCGTCCAAACTTGCTCCATCGCCGCAGCAGTGTCATCTCCTCCGCTTCCGCAGTAGACCTTCCCCAGCCTACTACCTGAGAAGCACACCTATCCAACCTCAAAGACAACCAACTCCCGTCCTATGGTAGAAGAAGCCTTCCAGCGACTAACCCCTTCCCACGGCTGATGTTTTAAGCTTTGCACTCCGCAAGTTTTGGGGGGTCATCAACATCATTTTGGCAGCTGTCCGGCATGTTATTTTACAGCTTTTGGGGGAGTCCTCTGGGTTCGGGCCGAATACCTAACTCGGAGCCCTCTCCTCGGACAGCACGCCAAATACGCATTTATTCTATCTGACTTATTTGTAAGTGTGAACTCGTGAAATGATGTTTTATAAACAAAGTTCGGGAGGAGCACGTTCAAATAATCATTCCAATAAACTGGTCATCAAACAATTACCATGTCTACCCTATCAGCACGAGAAGGAGCATATAAATATTCACTCTGTCAACTCACCTAACATTCCTTGACAGTTTCAGCATCCCTCCACCACCCCGACTCCTCACTCTTGGCTTATCTTATTTATTTATTTCACAGCCAGGAATACGGGGGGAGTCCTCTGGGTTCGGGCCGAATACCTAACTCGGAGCCCTCTCCTCGGACAGCACGCCAAATACGCATTTATTCTATCTGACTTATTTGTAAGTGTGAACTCGTGAAAAGCAGATTAAACACACCACATAGACACATAAACAACTTTAAACGCTGGATTTACACCACAGGGGGACTTTAAAGACTGAGAAATTATGTATTTACAAAATACGACTCACAAATGTGTAAGCTAATTCACATTCACACAAAGTTTATATATTTGCAAACTGAAATTCACAAACTCGTTCATGTTCACAAGATTAGGTTCAGAAATGCAAAGCTCTGAACGTTTGAGGCTTTCCTTTAGCCAATCAGATGTGGGTTTCCATCCAGCCAATCATCAGCTTTGAATCAAGAAGCAAAATGTGCCTTGATTAATTTTGAGACAATTTTAGCTCCATAATAATAACAAATGAGAAGAGCTTTGAGCGTGATCACAGGCTTCGTATGATTTATTGAGCTAGCGTGTATTTATATTTTGATCACATTCATAATTGTAGTTTCTACGCAGATTTGTTGAGCTGTATGTTTTTACTCGTTATAAAGATTATGATTAAAGTCTAAAGTTGAATTCTGTTCCCTGAGTCTTTAAATGAATCTGGGAGTTTTAAACTGGGGTTCTGGGAAATGTAAGATTAAACTAACTACTGTAGCATAAATACATTTGATTATAATAAAAAATATATTTTTAATAATTTGATAAACATTTATTTCAACAAATAAGTTAATAAATCAGATTAAAATGTATACATTTATAATGATAAATACTTTTTTTTCATTTTAATCAGATTTATTTATTATTTATTTAAATAATTGAATAAATATGTATTTAAATAAGTTAATAAATCTGATTAATATCAATACATTTATAATGATAAATAAAAGAGTCATGCATGTAAGTGTGGGCCATAAATGATGTTGATTTGCGCAAAGGATCGGTTTCTCTGCTTAAGAGGCTCATAATTTTGCATGATAACATTTGTATTTGTCAAACTGTTTCAGCCCTGAAGGCCTGAGACTCGTTCATGCAGAATAATGAGTCTTGTGACACACACACCCACACTCTCACGCGCGCACACACACACTCTCACGCACACACTCACACACACTCTCACGCGCACACACACACACACACACACTCTCTCACACACGCACACACACACACACACACACACTCTCACGCGCACACGCGCGCACACACACACTCTCGCTCTCTCTCACTCATACACACACACACACTCTCACACACACACACACACACACACACACACACACACACACACACACACACTCTCTATCTCTCACTCATACACACACACACACTCTCACACACGCACACACACACACACACACACACTCTCTCTCTCTCTCTCTTTCTCTCACACACACACACACACACACACACACACTGTCTCTCACTCTCACACAGACACACACACACTCTCTCTCTCTCACACACACACACACACTCTCTCTCTCTCTCACACTCTCACACACACACACAGACACACACACTCTCACTCACTCACACACAGACACACACTCTCTCACTCTCACACACACACACACACACTCTTTCTCTCTCACACGCACACGCACGCCGACAGCTCCGTGAAGCTCCTCCAGCATCAGTGATCTGTGGGAGCGATGAGGACACACACACTCCTCCGCCGGGAGAAGCGCAGGGACGTCCTGCTGTACATCATCGCTGCCGTTCTGCTCGTCTTCGCAGCGGCTCATCTCGTCTCCAGCGTGGGAGAGGCTTTCCAGCGCAGCGCTTCTGCCAGAGTCCGTCGGGACGCCGGTGAGTGAACACACACTCTCACAGCAGCTTCAGTACGAGTCCGATAACACACACTCTCAGTACGAGTCAGATAACACACACACACTCACAGCTTTAGTACGAGTCCGATAACACACACACTCACAGTACGAGTCAGATAACTGTGTTAATGCTGGAAACTTCACATAAACTTCTCGAGTTCTTCTGATATTAATATTAATATATATCACTGAATATTGTCTTTAAACCTTTTCAAATGATGTCCATGATTTGTTTGTGTGTGTGTGTGTGTGTGTGTGTGTGTGTGTTCACACAGCAAGTGCCAAAACTATTACCAAATTTTTTTTTTCCTTTGTATAATTTTGTGATTATTGTAATTCCTTTCTCTAAAGCACTTTGAATTGCCATACTGTATAAAATGTGTTATATAAATAAACTCGCCTTGCCAAGTTTTGTACCATTCCCATCAAGTAAAAAACTAAACAAAAAAACGAAACGTACAATTTTTCGGTCAAAAATGACAGATTTGTTGGTGTTTTGACATGCCCTGTCTTGGTGCTTGTTTCTGTTACCTGTAACGTCCCTGTAATAAGGCCATAAAACCCAGAATTAACATTTATTCACGAGACAACATATTGATCCATCATTTGTAAACACAGATGTTGTGTGTCAGAAAGCTGACTGTGGGTCAGACTCAGACACAGCAGTTGATGATGAGTGTGTGTGTGTGTGTGTGTGTGTCTGTTGCAGGGAATGCGAGCGAGTGCATCCCGCCGCAGTCCTCAGAGTTTCCCGAGGGATTCTTCACGCTTCAGGAGAGGAGAGACGGAGGGATCCTGATCCACTTCATGATCGTCTTCTACATGCTTCTGGCCGTGTCCATCGTGTGCGAAGACTACTTCCTGCCGTCCCTGGAGGTCATCAGCGAGCGTAAGCGGCCGAGGTCTGAACGGGCTTTAACCTGAAGCCCGACCCGACCCGACCATTACGGTTATATCTAAGCCCGAACCCGACCCGGCCCGACCATTACGGTTATATCTAAGCCCGAACCCGACCCGACCATTACGGTTATATCTAAGCCCGAACCCGGCCCGACCATTACGGTTATATCTAAGCCCGAACCCGACCCGACCATTACGGTTATATCTAAGCCCGAACCCGGCCCGACCATTACGGTTATATCTAAGCCCGAACCCGACCCGACCTCAAATCATTTAACCCGACCCGACCCAACCCGACAATTACGGTTATATCTAAGCCCGAACCCGACCCGACCCGACCATTACGGTTATATCTAAGCCCGAACCCGACCCGACCTCAAATCATTTAACCCGACCCGACCCGGCCCGACCATTACGGTTATATCTAAGCCCGACCCGACCTCAAATCATTTAACCCGACCCGACCCGATCCGACCATTACGGTTATATCTAAGCCCGAACCCGACCCGGCCCGACCATTACGGTTATATCTAAGCCCGACCCGACCTCAAATCATTTAACCCGACCCGACCCGGCCCGACCATTACGGTTATATCTAAGCCCGACCCGACCTCAAATCATTTAACCCGACCCGACCCGATCCGACCATTACGGTTATATCTAAGCCCGAACCCGACCCGACCATTACGGTTATATCTAAGCCCGAACCCGACCCGAACCCGAAATCATTTAACCCGACCCGACCCGATCCGACCATTACGGTTATATCTAAGCCCGAACCCGACCCGGCCCGACCATTACGGTTATATCTAAGCCCGAACCCGACCCGGCCCGACCATTACGGTTATATCTAAGCCCGAACCCGACCCGACCCGACCATTACGGTTATATCTAAGCCCGACCCGAACCCGAAATCATTTAACCCGACCCGACCCGATCCGACCATTACGGTTATATCTAAGCCCGAACCCGAACCGGCCCGACCATTACGGTTATATCTAAGCCCGAACCCGACCCGGCCCGACCATTACGGTTATATCTAAGCCCGAACCCGACCCGACCCGACCATTACGGTTATATCTAAGCCCGAACCCGACCCGACCATTACGGTTATATCTAAGCCCGAACCCGACCCGACCCGACCATTACGGTTATATCTAAGCCCGAACCCGACCCGACCCGACCATTACGGTTATATCTAAGCCCGAACCCGACCCGAACCCGAAATCATTTAACCCGACCTGACCCGACCATTACGGTTATATCTAAGCCCGACCCGACCTCAAATCATTTAACCCGACCCGATCCGACCATTACGGTTATATCTAAGCCCGAACCCGACCCGACCCAACCATTACGGTTATATCTAAGCCCGAACCCGACCCGGCCCGACCATTACGGTTATATCTAGGCCCGAACCCGACCCGACCCGACCATTACGGTTATATCTAAGCCCGAACCCGACCCGACCTCAAATCATTTAACCCGACCCGACCCGGCCCGACCATTACGGTTATATCTAAGCCCGACCCGACCTCAAATCATTTAACCCGACCCGACCCGATCCGACCATTACGGTTATATCTAAGCCCGAACCCGACCCGACCATTACGGTTATATCTAAGCCCGAACCCGACCCGACCATTACGGTTATATCTAAGCCCGAACCCGACCCGGCCCGACCATTACGGTTATATCTAAGCCCGACCCGACCTCAAATCATTTAACCCGACCCGACCCGATCCGACCATTACGGTTATATCTAAGCCCGACCCGACCTCAAATCATTTAACCCGACCCGACCCGGCCCGACCATTACGGTTATATCTAAGCCCGACCCGACCTCAAATCATTTAACCCAGCCCGACCCGATCCGACCATTACGGTTATATCTAAGCCCGAACCCGACCCGACCATTACGGTTATATCTAAGCCCGAACCCGACCCGAACCCGAAATCATTTAACCCGACCCGACCCGATCCGACCATTACGGTTATATCTAAGCCCGAACCCGACCCGGCCCGACCATTACGGTTATATCTAAGCCCGAACCCGACCCGGCCCGACCATTACGGTTATATCTAAGCCCGAACCCGACCCGAACCCGAAATCATTTAACCCGACCTGACCCGACCATTACGGTTATATCTAAGCCCGACCCGACCTCAAATCATTTAACCCGACCCGACCCGATCCAACCATTACGGTTATATCTAAGCCCGAACCCGACCCGGCCCGACCATTACGGTTATATCTAAGCCCGAACCCGACCCGACCATTACGGTTATATCTAAGCCCGAACCCGACCTCAAATCATTTAACCCGACCCGACCCGATCCGACCATTACGGTTATATCTAAGCCCGAACCCGACCCGACCCAACCATTACGGTTATATCTAAGCCCGAACCCGACCCGGCCCGACCATTACGGTTATATCTAAGCCCGAACCCGACCTCAAATCATTTAACCCGACCCGACCCGATCCGACCATTACGGTTATATCTAAGCCCGAACCCGACCCGACCATTACGGTTATATCTAAGCCCGAACCCGACCCGAACCCGAAATCATTTAACCCGACCCGACCCGACCATTACGGTTATATCTAAGCCCGAACCCGACCTCAAATCATTTAACCCGACCCGACCCGATCCGACCATTACGGTTATATCTAAGCCCGAACCCGACCCGACCATTACGGTTATATCTAAGCCCGAACCCGACCCGAACCCGAAATCATTTAACCCGACCCGACCCGATCTGACCATTACGGTTATATCTAAGCCCGAACCCGACCCGGCCCGACCATTACGGTTATATCTAAGCCCGAACCCGACCCGATCCCGAAATCATTTAACCCGACCCGACCCGATCCGACCATTACGGTTATATCTAAGCCCGAACCCGACCCGAACCCGAAATCATTTAACCCGACCTGACCCGACCATTACGGTTATATCTAAGCCCGACCCCGACCCGGCCCGACCATTACGGTTATATCTAAGCCCGAACCCGACCCGAACCCGAAATCATTTAACCCGACCCGATCCGACCATTACGGTAATATCTAAGCCCGAACCCGACCCGGCCCGACCATTACGGTTATATCTAAGCCCGAACCCGACCCGAACCCGAAATCATTTAACCCGACCCGACACGACCCGACCCGACCATTACGGTTATATCTAAGCCCGAACCCGACCCGGCCCGACCATTACGGTTATATCTAAGCCCGAACCCGACCTCAAATCATTTAACCCGACCCGACCCGGCCCGACCATTACGGTTATATCTAAGCCCGAACCCGACCCGAACCCGAAATCATTTAACCCGACCCGACCCGATCCGACCATTACGGTTATATCTAAGCCCGAACCCGACCCGGCCCGACCATTACGGTTATATCTAAGCCCGAACCCGACCCGACCATTACGGTTATATCTAAGCCCGAACCCGACCCGACCCGATCCGACCATTACGGTTATATCTAAGCCCGAACCCGACCCGACCCGATCCGACCATTGCGGTTATATCTAAGCCCGAACCCGACCCGGCCCGACCATTACGGTTATATCTAAGCCCGAACCCGACCCGGCCCGACCATTACGGTTATATCTAAGCCCGAACCCGAAATCTTTTAACTCGAACCCGACCCAAACCCAGAATCATTTAACCCGAACAATCCCGACCCGACCATTACGGTTATATTTTTTAAGCCTGAACCCGAAATCATTTAACCGATCCGAACCTGACCCAACGATTAGAGTTATATTTTAAGCCCGAACCCGACCCAAACCCAGAATCATTTAACCCCAACCATCCCAACCCAACCATTACGGGTTATATTTTAAGCCCGAACCCGAAATCATTAACCCGACCCGACCCGACCACTTCGGTGACATCTCGGATCTGTTTGTGTTTCAGGGCTCGGTCTTTCACAAGATGTTGCCGGAGCCACTTTCATGGCAGCGGGAAGTTCGGCGCCAGAACTCGTCACTGCGTTTCTGGGTAATCTCCTTTCTTTTCTTGCTTTTGTAGGTGATCTTCTTCTTACAGGACAGAAATATCACAATCTCTCTAAAAGCCCTCTGGTGCTCCTCACATCGGTTAAAAATGTGTTTTCAATGAAATAATGTGCTATATTTTAGTTCGATAATGGTCTTTTATTTAATATTTTGTATTTTTTGGTACTAAATGATATATACGCTGTATTTATAAATAATCCATTTATTCACTTTTTGAGCGTAGACCTGAAAATGTCATTTCCTTATTTTTGTGGGCGGGGCTTGATTGCGTCTGTGGGGAACTGATTGGATGGTTGTGGTTTGCTATTGGCTGATCTCATGTGAGTGACAGGTTATAGCCCCGCCCATATCATCATTTTTATTATTTTATTGTGTTTTAATTTACACCCGCTGTAAACAGCAGTGTAAAGCTCCCAGATGACTAATCATTTCCCACAACTCATATTGTCGGGAGCTTTTTGTCTAATGAAATTTCTTGGAACGATAGTTTTGATGTTTTTTTTTCTCAGCGGAACAATCTTAAAAACACATTAAATAAAAGTACAAGCAACTCTGATCGACTGAAGAGATCATCACAGCCTCACTTTCATTCTGGTGAATAAGGTCTATATTCCACAAAAACAAGAATTGTCCGCTTTTTTTTCTGTATTTTTATTGATGTTTTTCAAAAATACAACATTTAGAAAGACAGGAAAAAAGTAAACAATAGAACAGAACTTTTTGTTTTGTCGGCGTATAGATTCACATATAGTCTCTGATTGTTTACATTACAGTTCTCGATCAACATCTTCCAGTATTTTAGAAATACGTTCTTTTTAAGTCTCAAAATGAAAGTAAATTCTTCGATATTACATATTTCTTTAACAATTTCTATCCATTCTCCAAGTAAGCGGATGCCTTGTAATACTCCCATTAATATATGAGCAGGATCTGAGTGTGTGGTGTTCACAGATACACTGTGATGACATTTTCATAAATACCTCAAATCTTTTGGATCTCCATGAAAACCATGTTCCAGAAAGTTATATTTTGAACTCCGGAATTCATGAATCATAATTGTGGTGTAGATAATTTTGACTTTTAATTTAGTTTCGCACTAGATTGTTCCATGCAACCCTCTTTCCATCTCTGTGTATAGATAACTGTATGTTGTGTCTTGCTTCATTTGAAATGTTTAATATTTAATAAATGTCTAACATTATTAAACGCAGTGTGTGTGAATGCGTCCTCAGGTGTGTTTGTGACTAAAGGAGACATCGGCGTGAGCACCATCATGGGGTCGGCCGTGTACAACCTCCTGTGCATCTGTGCGGCGTGCGGCCTCCTGACCTCTGTGGTGCGTGACATCATCATTACCAGTGTTGGGAATAACGCCGTTATCTTTCTCTAACGAGTAATCAAACGAATTACTGTTTCCCCCGTTAGAACGCCGTTACCGTTACTGACAATAAAATGCGGCGTTACTATAGCCTAATTGAGCTCACTGAAGCGGTTTTCATCCGAGTAGGCTCTCTCTCCACCATAGGACCTGCAACGTTTTTTCTCTGGTGTGTGTGTGTGTGTGTGTGTGTGTGTGTTTATGAGGCGCCGGACTGGACAAAAGCGCAGCGAATGCACGAGAGAGACCGAGTGTGTCCGAGCATAGCATTATATAGTTTGTTTATAAATAAATTACAAATTTCAGCATTAGAGTAATCTATGTAGCCTATTGGTATCATCTGCAACGTTCTGGGAGCACTTCTTGTTAAACTGTTAATCATTTTAATTTGCACTACAAAGAGTGTATGTATATATATTTTTTATTAATTATTCATTTTTGGTACATTTCTTAAGAAGATTAATTTATTTTCAGACTTATTTTTTGGGCCAGTTGTGGTCTGTGCAATATTAAATATTAAAAGTTCTAAACCATCTATTATGTTTTATTGTTATACTATAGTAATGCTAATATTTAAAATAATAGTGGCTATTGAATTTAATAGGTGTCTCTCACATTGTCCCACAGCAACATTACAATAGTGTAGATTACTGTACAATGTTTTATAATTATTTATTCTATAGTGTCCATTTCATTAATTTAACATATGTAATATTGGGGGCATCCAAGTTATTTGACATAGGCCTATTTGAGCTTTTTTTTAAAAAAAAGTAACGCAATAGTTACTTTCCCGGGTAATTAGTTACTTTTATAATGATTTAATGAGTTACTAACTCAGTTACTATTTGTGAGAAGTAACTAGTAACTATAACTAATTACTTTTTTTAAGTAACATGCCCAACCAACACTGATCATTACCCAGACTCCCTCAGTCTCGGCGCGAGGAGTCCGCACGGACCGGGTGTGGGCCGACACTTCACGGGCTTTCGCACCGGAGGAACCGTCTCATAGTTCCTGTTGGCGGATGTTGGCGTGTTTGTTCGCACCGCAGGAACTACAGGTGAACCTCGGAAAATTAGAATATGGTGCAAAAGTTCATTTATTTCAGTAATTCAACTTAAAAGGTGAAACTAATATATTATATAGACTCATTACAAGCAAAGTGAGATATTTCAAGCCTTTATTTGTTATAATTTTGATGATTATAAAGGCTTGAAATATCTCACTTTGCATGTAATGAGTCTATATAATATATTAGTTTCACCTTTTAAGTTGAATTACTGAAATAAATGAACTTTTGCACCATATTCTAATTTTCCGAGGTTCACCTGTAGGAGCGATGTTAGCTCTAGGAACTCCTTTACTAATTTACTCCTCCAGAGTCGGTCTAACCCTGCGCTATAGGAACTACAGTGACGTTAGTGTTCTCTGATTGGCCGAACGCACGCGAAACACCAGCACCCGCCATCATTAAAAAAACAGATTATAGCCTATATATTTACTCCACAAACGAACTCTAAGAACATGTAAAACAGAGATAGATGAGCCTCTTAATCTTTACACTGAGGAGAAACTCTGAGGGACCGAGAGAAACATGATGATGTATTTCTGCTCAGCAACACTGGGCATCAACACACGCCATACGCTAATAACTGTTCATTACTGTCTACTTTCTGTGTATAACAGTTCAATCTAATAACGTGTTGGACAGGACTGATAGACAGATCGTTAACCCTGGTGTTAGTTCCTATAACTACCCTGATGTTGCTGTCTGGGATATTAATGAGCTGTAAGCGTGTCGGTGTGTGTCTGTTGCCTCTGTATCTCACGTGTTTGTGTGTGTGTGTGTGTGTGTGTGTGTGTGTGCTCTGTTCAGACGGCTCGTCTCACATGCTGGCCGTTATTCAGAGACTGTCTCGCATACGCCATCAGCGTCGCCGCCGTCATCGCCATCATCTCAGATAACAGAGTTTACTGGTGAGTCTGTGATGCTAACATTAATACGTTCTAAGAATGTTTTGCTATATAAGTATTAGTTCACTTCAGAATTTAAATTTCCTGATAGTTTACTCTCCCGCACGTCATCCAAGATGTTCATGTGTTTCTTTCTTCTTTCTTCGGTTTTTGAGGAACACACTCCAGGGTTTCTCCATATAGTGACTTCAATGGTCCAACGGGTCGAAGGTCCAGATGTGAGTTTCAGTGCAGCTTCAAAGTCTCGACACGATCCAGCCGAGGAATAAGAGTCTGATCTAGACAAACCAGCGGACATTTATAACAAAATACACATTTACCGTAATTCCTCAAATAAAGGCCGGGGCCTTTATTTACCTGAACTGCAGATGGTAGCCGGCTTTTATTTGAAGCAGGCTTTTATTAGAGGCAGGCCTTTATTTCTAATTCGCGATCCCCGCCCGCGATATTTTTTTTCACAGGATGGTAGGGGAAGACTCATTAATATTCATTAGGGAACTCATCACTGATTGGTCTTAACCCCAGTGACGGGTAGGTTTAGGGGCGGGGTTAGGGGTAAGTCATCAGACCCCCAGTGACGGGTAGGTTTAGGGGCGGGGTTAGGGGCGGGGTTAGGGGTAGGTCATCAGACCAATCAGGGATGAGTTCCCTAATGAATATTCATGAGTCTTCCCCTACCATCCTGTGAAAAAAAATATCGCTCCCCGCCCGCCCGCCAGCCAAGTTTCCATGGTGACGCGTCATGCTTGGCACGTGTTCACCACAGCCAAAATAGCGCTGTATGACAGATGTAGCGCTTTTATTTCTAAATATTAACAAACTTGCTTACCATGTCATCAACTATCTTCTATTCTGACTCTCAAATCCGTGTAAGTGAGTTTGTTTTGTCGTTTAAAACCCTTTATAAATGATCTTGATCTGTAACGTGAGATGGGCACCGCAGTTCGGAGATTCCTGTTGTATTTGTTAAGTTACAGCGCGTGAATTCTTCAGTTTCTCCCGAAATACATGAAAGTAAGTGGCCGGTGAACTGGGAGAAGAATAGAGTAAACTTTATAGTTACTTACACACTGTGTATCTGATATGAATAAAACACGTCGCCAAATATATTTGAATGGATTGTTATTGCTGCTTCCATAGACACCATTGTGTATTTTACAAACTATAAATTTATTGTTTTGCTATAAATCATATCTATTTAAATGTCTGAAACCTAAAATAAACATGTGGTTAAAAACACTGAATAGTTGTGATATATGACAAGCGCTGAGCGAGTCCGTCTTTGAGTGTACACTCATTTAAAGTGTACCTATTCACACTATTTTTTCCCCGGCCTTAATTTGAGACCGGCCTTTATTTGTCCGCGTTGACCACGCCCCCGGCCACTATCAGAGGCCCGGCGTTTATTTGAATACCGGTCTTTATTTGAGGAATTACGGTATATACTTTTATCCACTAATGCTGGTCTTGCTCGAGCTGTGATGCGACACACATTACGTGATCAGGGTGAAAGGTCAAGCGTGACGTAGGTGTAAGAACAGACCCAGTGTTTACAGAGTGAACGTGCAACGACTGAGTCAAACGCCATTTACAATAAACAAATAAATAAAAGGTAAAACAACGATGTCGGATGATTTTGAAGTTGGAGGAGAAAATGAGAGTTTTTCGCCCTACTCTACATTTCTGAACCGGAACACGCTTGACCTTTCACCCTGATGATGTAATGTGTGACGCATCACAGCTCGAGCAAGACCAGCATTAGTGGATAAAAGTATATAAATGTGTATTTTGTTATAAATGTCGGCTGGTTTGTCTAGATCAGACTCTTATTCCTCGGCTGGATCGTGTCGAGACTTTGAAGCTGCACTGAAACTCACATCTGGACCTTCGACCCGTTGGACCCCATTGAAGTCACTATATGGAGAAACCCTGGAGTGTGTTCCTCAAAAACCTTCCTTTCTGTCCCACTGAAGAAAGAAAGACGTGAACATCTTGGGTGACGTGCGGGAGAGTAAACTATCAGGACATTTTTATTACAAAATGAACTCCTCCTTTAAGGTATTAAAAAGGGAACGTTCCACTTTATTCGGTGTCTCTGATCCGTCAAAACATCTCGAAGTGCTTGAGCTACGGATGCGGACAACGCACACAATCGAACACGATCCGAATTTTTTTATGACGGTTGTATTTATTTTTTAACGTGTAGCTCGTGTATTTTCTGCTTTTCTGTTGCATCTGTTTATTATAAGTTTGGTGACTACACTCTTAATCTGGCGCTCTTCTGCATATGTCGGTCAAAAATTACCAATTTTTTATTTTTATTTCAATGAAATGAATGTACTATATTTTAGTTTGACGTTTTTTATTTAATATTTTGTATTTTTAGGGGATTTTATGGTACTAAATTATATTTACGCTGTATTTATAATCCATTTATTCACTTTTTGAGCGTAGACCATTTCAGCTTAAACTGGTAAATCTTGAACGCTTTAGAGCGACAGACTGAAGTTTGATCTCAGACGACACTTGGCAGATTATTGCTGAAGTGAAGTTTTCAAATGTGAATTTAAAAAAAGTTACAGAATTTCACATTTAGTGTTATAAAAAAATGTGCAAAAATACTATTTTCAAAAACATGTTTTACTCTAAAACTAAGAAAATCAAGCCATAAATCGAAACATTTTAAACGTGATTGACACAACAATGTGAGGTCGTATTTATTTTTAACGTGCGAAAATTTCGAACTCATTGTGTACGGACCCTAACGGTGCAGGAATGAACCGAATTAACGTAAGAATTCTGTAATCTTTCCTGTAGCTCAAACAGTAGAGCGCCAAGGTCACAGGTTCGATCCCCAGGGAAAGCCAGAACTGATGAGAATGTAAACGTGTGCCTTGAAATGCAATGTGAGTGGCTTTGGATAAAAGCGTCTGCCAAATGCATGAATGTAACGTGCGCCGTGTGTGTGTGTCAGGTATGACGGCGCGTGCCTCCTGCTGGTGTACGGTGTGTATGTGCTGGTGCTGTGCTTCGACCTGAGGATCAGCGAGTACGTGCTGCGGCGCTTCAGCCCGTGTTGTGTGTGTGTGAGCAAGAGCTCGGGCGAGGAGCAGCCGCTGGTGGGATGGAGCGACGGCAGTCTGCGAGTTCACCGGCGCTCCCGAGCCGACAGCGGGATCTTCCAGGACGACTCCGGCTACTCCCAGCTCTCGCTCAGCCTGCACGGCCTCAACGAGATCGGACAAGGTACGCGATGACCTCACACACCGGCTTGCATCTGTTTCTGTTTATTATCATGTTGGGGACCACTCTTCAGTCTGGCGCTTGACAGGGGTGGTGATGGCGCAGTGGATAAGACACGTGCCTTTGGTGTGAGAGACCCGGGTTCGAATCCACTGTGAGACACCCTGAGCAAGACACTTAACCCCTAGTTGCTCCAGAGGCGTGCGACCTCTGACATATATAGCAATTGTAAGTCGCTTTGGATAAGCGTCAGCTAAATGAATAAATGTAAATGTACCACTCTTAAAAATAAAGGTTCCAAAAGGGTGTTTTTGCAGCGATGCCATAAAAAAAAAAATTTGGCTCCCCAAAGAACCTTGTAGTGATCAGTTCTTAAAAGAACCATTTGGTGCTTTTCGGTCATCTTTAAAAAAAATTACATTTGTTTTTTCCCCCGAATTTTTTACTTCATCGGAATGGTACGAAACTTGGTAAAGGTTTTGGCACTTGCTGTGTGAACACACAAAATCATGGAAGTGATTCGAACAGGTTTAATGATCCTGATAACAACGGTCCCACTTGTGCTCCTCGCGGTCAGAAACGAGCGCATTGTAAATGAATGAGAGTTTCCTCTAGTGGAAGCGTGTGGAACTGCAGCCGAACACACTCTCACTGACGCTCGATTACTGAGAGATCGGCTCACATGTGGAACACACTGGGGGAGAGTTACGGATTTGATTTTCTTGCAGTTTTAGGGAAATACGTGATTTTGAAAATATATATTTCATAAAAAAAGATACAGAATTTTAAGTTTATTGTTATGAAAAATGTGCAAAAATACTATTTAAATTTTTTATAAGTTCACTTTTTAAAACTTTGACAATAATCTGCCGAGTGTCGTCTTTGAGAAGAGACCAAACTTCATTCTGTCGCTCTAAAGAATTCAAAATTTACCATTTTAAGTTGGAAATGTAATTCTTAGTCTACCTTTTAAAAGTGAATAAATGGATTATAAATACAGCGTAAATAAAATTTAGTACCATAAAATCCCCTAAAAACACAAAATATTAAATTAAAAACATTATCGAACTAAAATATAGTACATTCATTTAATTGAAATAAAAAAATCTATTTGTATAAATGTTGCCCGACACACGAAGAGCACCAGGGTTAACTCTTTCCCCGCCGGTGGTTCAAAACAGTGTCCAGCCACCGCCAGCGCGTTTGACCATTTTCACAAAGATGTCATGACCTCCGGAATATTTAGTTGTATGAACTCTGAATATGCAAAATATCAAAAGAAAGAACCTCTGATTTTAATCAAAACAACTTTATTCTAGCTTTTTTATCAACACTTTAATGTGGGTAAGGTTCATAAAAAAACAAACATTTTGAGCAAAAAGCGGAGAAAATCATGTTTTTGTAAAAAAAAAAAAGTGATTCAGAATGACGATGTAAACACAGATGGAGTCGATCGAGTCCATCAACACCCTCAGAGCTTCAGCCCCAGAACTCGTCCATTTCGATATCCGCACTTTTTTATGGAAGCGCTATATAAATGCCTCATTCATTTCATTGAGTAATATTAGGCAGTTTTGATTTCTATGCTGTTTGATGAGCATGTCTTCACTCGCTTATTTCTGCGTGTTTAGATCAGGAGGTTCTGTAATCTGATAGGAGACGTGTAATAGCGCCCCCTACCGTAATACAGTGAAAACACGGGAAGTGTAATTTGGGAAACACCCGAGCGTGTTCAGTGTGAACGGCAGCCTCACGCTCGCACGTTTCTCTCTCAGAGCAGAAGAGTGTGTTCTCGATGCCCGAACACGACCTGAAGCGGATCCTGTGGGTTCTGTCTCTGCCGGCCGTCGTGTTGCTGTTCCTGACCGTTCCCGACTGCAGGAGACGCTTCTGGAAGAGATGGTACATGATCACGTTCCTGATGTCTGCCGTCTGGATCTCCGCCTTCACATACGTCCTGGTGTGGATGGTCACCATCGTGGGTAAGAGTGTGTGTGTGTGTGTGTGTTCTGCGAATCATGATCAGCCAGATGAGCTACAGGCTCTACAAGTTAAGTCAAAATTATTTGCGCAGCACTTTTCACAATACACGTTTCCAAAGCATCTTTACCCGAAGGTCATAGAGTTATAAATATATAGTGAGATATAATGATGATATGAGTGATCGTCCGGATTTAGATCTAAATATTCTGTATTTATAGTGTTGTCTAGAACAATATCAGTGCAGCAGCGACTCAAAACTACTGAGAGATCAAGACAATTAAGAGATTTAAAAATTGTCAGTTTTGTTTGATTATAAATTTAAATATTGTCAGTTTTGTTCCATTTAGAGATTTAAATATTGTCAGTTTTGTTCGATTATAAATGTAAATATTGTCAGTTTTGTTCGATTATAGATTTAAATATTGATTGTCGGTTTTGTTCGATTATAAATGTAAATATTGTTAGTTTTGTTCCATTTAGATATTTCAATATTGTCGGTTTTGTTCGATTATAGATTTAAATATTGTTAGTTTTGTTCCATTTAGAGATTTAAATATTGTCGGTTTTGTTCGATTATAGATTTAAATATTGTTAGTTTTGTTCGATTATAAATGTAAATATTGTCGGTTTTGTTCGATTATAGATTTAAATATTGTCGGTTTTGTTCGATTATAGATTTAAATATTGTCAGTTTTGTTCCATTTAGAGATTTAAATATTGTCAGTTTTGTTCCATTTAGAGATTTAAATATTGTCAGTTTTGTTCGATTATAAATGTAAATATTGTCAGTTTTGTTCGATTATAGATTTAAATATTGATTGTCGGTTTTGTTCGATTATAAATGTAAATATTGTTAGTTTTGTTCCATTTAGATATTTAAATATTGTCGGTTTTGTTCGATTATAGATTTAAATATTGTCAGTTTTGTTCCATTTAGAGATTTAAATATTGTCAGTTTTGTTCCATTTAGATATTTAAATATTGTCGGTTTTGTTCGATTATAGATTTAAATATTGTTAGTTTTGTTCCATTTAGAGATTTAAATATTGTCAGTTTTGTTCCATTTAGAGATTTAAATATTGTCAGTTTTGTTCGATTATAGATTTAAATATTGTTAGTTTTGTTCCATTTAGAGATTTAAATATTGTCAGTTTTGTTCCATTTAGAGATTTAAATATTGTCAGTTTTGTTCGATTATAGATTTAAATATTGATTGTCGGTTTTGTTCGATTATAAATGTAAATATTGTTAGTTTTGTTCCATTTAGAGATTTAAATATTGTCGGTTTTGTTCGATTATAGATTTAAATATTGTTAGTTTTGTTCCATTTAGAGATTTAAATATTGTCAGTTTTGTTCCATTTAGAGATTTAAATATTGTCAGTTTTGTTCGATTATAGATTTAAATATTGTCGGTTTTGTTCGATTATAAATGTAAATATTGTCGGTTTTGTTCAATTATAGATTTAAATATTGTCGGTTTTGTTCGATTATAAATGTAAATATTGTCGGTTTTGTTCAATTATAGATTTAAATATTGTCAGTTTTGTTCCATTTAGAGATTTAAATATTGTCAGTTTTGTTCGATTATAGATTTAAATATTGTCAGTTTTGTTCGATTATAGATTTAAATATTGTCGGTTTTGTTCGATTATAGATTTAAATATTGTTAGTTTTGTTCCATTTAGAGATTTAAATATTGTCAGTTTTGTTCCATTTAGAGATTTAAATATTGTCAGTTTTGTTCGATTATAGATTTAAATATTGTTAGTTTTGTTCCATTTAGAGATTTAAATATTGTCAGTTTTGTTCCATTTAGAGATTTAAATATTGTCAGTTTTGTTCGATTATAGATTTAAATATTGATTGTCGGTTTTGTTCGATTATAAATGTAAATATTGTTAGTTTTGTTCCATTTAGAGATTTAAATATTGTCGGTTTTGTTCGATTATAGATTTAAATATTGTTAGTTTTGTTCCATTTAGAGATTTAAATATTGTCAGTTTTGTTCCATTTAGAGATTTAAATATTGTCAGTTTTGTTCGATTATAGATTTAAATATTGTCGGTTTTGTTCGATTATAAATGTAAATATTGTCGGTTTTGTTCAATTATAGATTTAAATATTGTCGGTTTTGTTCGATTATAGATTTAAATATTGTCAGTTTTGTTACATTTAGATATTTAAATATTGTCAGTTTTGTTCGATTATAGATTTAAATATTGTCGGTTTTGTTCGATTATAGATTTAAATATTGTCGGTTACGTTCGACTATAAATTTAAATATTGTCAGTTTTGTTCCATTTAGAGATTTAAATATTGTCAGTTTTGTTCGATTATAGATTTAAATATTGTCAGTTTTGTTCGATTATAGATTTAAATATTGTCGGTTTTGTTCGATTATAAATTTAAATGTTGTCGGTTACGTTCGACTATAAATTTAAATATTGTCAGTTTTGTTCCATTTAGAGATTTAAATATTGTCAGTTTTGTTCGATTATAGATTTAAATATTGTCAGTTTCGTTCGATTATAGATTTAAATATTGTCGGTTTTGTTCGATTATAAATTTAAATATTGTCGGTTACGTTCGACTATAAATTTAAATATTGTCAGTTTTGTTCCATTTAGAGATTTAAATATTGTCAGTTTTGTTCGATTATAGATTTAAATATTGTCGGTTTTGTTCGATTATAAATTTAAATATTGTTGGGTTAGTTCGAATAAGAGATTTGTTCCAAGCAAGAATAAACAATTCTCAAAAGATACTTTTTGCCCAGACAACAACAAAGTGTCGGCCTAGATCCGGTACATGTGGACTCCATGCGTGCCGGATCAGGACCGGATTAGGGCCGACACTATGTTGCTGTCTAGGTGTAAAAGAGTCTGATGTGAGTTTAACACTTTCCAAATTTAATTAGCAGTTATTTAAGCAATGATGCTGAGAATTATAGAGTATGGCTTTAATTTCAGTTAGTAATGTCTCTGATTTCATTTCTTGGAAATGGCTTGTACTGCGGTGATGATTGAATACTTCTAAAGTCGACACACATTGCTTTAACTTCAGGCTTACGGAACAATTCTCAAACATTTCAGTTTTTTGGCATTAGTGCTGAAACCTGCAGATCTTTGGTGATAAACATGCGATGTGTGCAGTGATGGACTTTCTGAAGCGTGTGGAGTCTTGAAGACATGAAACTGAGGAAGTTCAGAGATCTCTGTATCACATGCATTATTATCGTTCCGCATGTCAGTCATGTTTCTGGAACATTTCAGTGCAGTGTTGTGGATTTAGCAGAAATTTTGAGTTTTTAGAAAAAAAGTTTGGAGATTTAAATATTATCGTTTTTGTTCCATTAAGAGATTAATATATTATAGTTTTTTTTTCGATTATAGATTTAAATATTATCGTTTTTTTTCGATTATAGATTTATATATTGTCGTTTTTGTTCCATTAAGACATTTAAATATCGGTTTTGTTCATTATAGATTTAAATATTGTCAATTAAGAGATTTAAATATTATCGGTTTTGTTCCATTAAGTTATTTAATTATTGTCGGTTTTGTAGAGAAATATAGAGTATGGCTTTAATTTCCGTTAGTAACGTGTCTGATCTCATCAGTGTCAGTTCTGATGTCTTCTTTCTCACGGATCCAGCTTCACTGTGTGTGTTCAGCCCCAGTCACTGCAGACGTTCAGGGTTTGAGCGGGTCACACACAGACGGGTCACATGCTCCCTGAGTCCATTCCTGAAATGCCAGCGCTGTATCCTGAAGGATTATGATGCTGTCGGCAGAAACCATGTGATGCGGCCGCATATAATAGGATTATTATCCTGCACACGGTCACACAGATTCACATGAGCTTTAGAGCCGACACTGAAGAGCAGGTGCCGGAGAGAAAGAGCTGCGAGTTTGAACTTTAGAGCTCAGAGACGCCGGCGCGCCGGTCACATGCTCAGCAGAACAACTGTTTTTTGGTTACACTTTATTTTAAGATAGGATTAGTTGCATGTAATTATGCATAATTCACTGTTATTACTATGGTAAGTACACGTAACATATGTAACAAGGACACTGTAAAATAAAGTGTTAAAAAAAATCTTCAAAATTCACTGTACATTTGGTAACACTTTATTTTACAGTGTCCTTGTTGCATATGTTACATGTACTTACCATAGTAATAACAGTAAAGTATGCATAATTACATGCAACTAACCCTCAACCACATCCTAATCCTACCCTAACCCTATAGTAAGTACATGTAGTTAATTAATATTACTCAGTACTTAAATATATAATTACACTGTAACAATGACACCTTAAAATAGTGTAAACGAACATTTCTTTTAAATCGATCTTTTGCTTTATATTTACACTACCAGTCAAAAGTTTTTGAAAGAGTCTCTTCTGTTCACCAAGGCTGCATGTGTTTGAGCAAACATACACTAAAATTGTGAAATATTACTCCAGTGTAAATCATCTGTTTTCTATGTGAATATACAGTAAAGTGTAATTTATTCCTGTGATCAAAGCTGAATTTTCAGCATTACTCCAGTCTTCAGTGTCACATGATCCTGCAGAAATCACTCTAATATGAGGATCTGATGCTCAAGAAACATTTATGATAATTATCAGTGTTGTAAACAGTTGTGCTGCTTCAGATTTTTGAGGTGTTGTGTAACATGCAGGATGCCAGAAAATGACATCACAAAGGACTCTGGTTCACTATTAAAGGGGTCATATAATGGTACATGCACTTTTTTAAGTTGATTGTACTGAAATGTGTGTTGGCAGTGCCTGTACACAACCATCATATAATGATAAAAATCCATCCAGTGGTTTTGTTTTAATCTCCTTATATGTTTTCCCCTGCCTCAAATCGAGCCGTTCGACCGTGTGACGTCACACGCTCGGAAGCCCCTCCCACGATTGTTGATTGATAGGCGCGTTTCAACACAGACCCGCCCTCGCTCGTGAGAGCTGTCAATCATAGTCTGC